CGAATTCGGCGGAGCCAGGCACCAAGGCCGGATTTAGACTTGATGAGGCCCTAAGTTATTTGAAATATGGGGCCCTTAATAAGTCTGTTATACTATATTAATACTATATTTTAATTTTTTTGAGGCTCCCAAGAGAGTGAGGGGCCCTAAGCTATGGCTTGTGTAGTTTATACGTAAATCCTGCACTGCCAATTACTATAGAACCCATTAAGAGGATGCAGATTCCTGCGTCAGTATCTGTGGTTCCTATGCCACCTAAAGCCTTACAGTAGGATTTTAAAAAAGCAGAAACTCTAGATCTTTTTTTTTTTTTTTTTTGGCCAAGTTACTGACATTAAGAAGTAGTGATCTGCCGAGGAGCAACTATATACCTTTCGTTTAACCCGGCGGAAGGCGCACCAAGAAAGGTTACTAGAACGGGCGCGTGGGGTATCACATACCCCAATATTTAAAATACAATAAAAATAGTATTATTTAGTTTTAAAGCTTTTTTTTTTTGTTCTCGTGTATTCTAAATAAGGAATAATAATTGGGTTTCAAAAAATAATTTCCGAAATAATCTTAGAGTTAAAAGTAAGATAAATGAAAATAATAAACATCATGCTTCTAAGTTTCATTGCATCTCTAATACAGAATTCTTATTTTATTTCTTCACACTTGAACGAAATAAATTCATTTGTTCTTGGAACAGAATGTTTCACATTTTGAACATTGCATTCACGTTCTTCTGTCCTTGGCGCGAGGGCAAAAATATTTATCTCATCTTTCATACTTAGTTGTTTTGAATTGCATGTATTCGTTTTAATTCTTTGCCGAAACTTCTGTTTTTGTTTTGCATGCAGTACGTCAATTCTTGGAAAAGTATTAATCTCTGATCTTTGTTCAATACTTTTTTCATTAATTGTAATGCTAAGTCCTTCAAAAACAGACTTCTGTTTCTTGTCGGTGGATTAGCAGTTGAATGTAATATAATTCAAGCATTTATTACAGCAACATTCAGTGCAGGAAAGAAAATTACCATTGGCCACTTTCTCGTTATTCTGGCAATTGAATAACTGGCTGACATTTCATCCCCTATATCCACTGCTCCTTTAGTCATATTATTAAAACATATAATTCCTAACGTTTTATTTTCTCCAATAGTATCATCTATAGTATGATCGTTACATAATGTTATAATGTTATAATGATCGTTATACAAAGCATAAGAACAGTTTTTCCTTTTTTAGGAACATCAGGAATTAATGTTTTATCTTTTTCGAAACCAAAACATTGTAGAAAATATTCTTAGTTTCATCTTCAGTTTCCGAAATGCAATCTTCAAATATTTCTAATAAATCTTGCATGCGTTGCATCTCCAGTTCATAGGGACTCATTCTTTTTACCAGAATGCAGTTAGAAATTTTTAAGAATTTAATGTCAAGTACTTTAAAATCACTTGCGAGTAGAAATATTTACTGTTACACTCTAGAAATAAATTTCTGAACTAAATATTCAGTCAGAAAAACACTTACACGGACAGGCGCGTGGGGTGTGACATACCCCAGTTCCAACAAAATACCGATAAATCTTTTTCTGAAACACACAGACAAAGAAAAAGCGATTCTGAAAGTCAACCACAACTAGAAACTCAGCTACTGAAAGCAGCACAGAATTTCAGTTTCACAAGTTAGGAATATCCCACTTTTATGTAGGGTTGGGGTATGATACACCCCACGCGCCTTCCCGCGGGTTAAACTGAAGCAGAGACCAAAGCAGTGCGGATAGTCACCCGTCAATTATCAGGCTACTTCTTTCCAGCTTCCCTGCACAGTAAACACGTGGAAAATTTTTTGTAAGTCAGAGACAAAAGGCTTGTATCAACATCTTGTGCTGAGCCCCATCCTGCGAAGAGGAAACGACAAGGCAAAAAGAAGGAAAAGGATATAAAAAAGAGGACGAAAAGCGGAATGAAAGGAGAGATCACTGGTGCTTCGAGGTCCTGACACTGGTGCTCACTGAAAGGGCGATCCCATGAGGGGTATATTCCCAAAGAAAGGAAAGATTTTCAAGTCTGAAAGGTCAGGAATGAGAATCCGGAAATTTTAAGGAATTAATGCAGGTAAAGAATGTTATGAAAATATGTGGATCATCATTGTTTAAAGCTGAATTATGGCGGATCTTTTGTCAGTTATACTTTGTCCCTTAAAACTACAGTTGTTAAAGTTAAAGATGTCATGTCTAAGGAATTACCAATAACTTGGCGATACTACCAGATTCCCAGGAATTCGAACAGATAAGAATATGTAAGGAAGACTGTTCCATTCGCAGTTTCATTCATGGAATAAATGGGATTGAGAAACAAAACTAAGGTAGGTGCATGTTTTGGCTTGCATGCGAAGAGCCAAATGAAGCGAATTACAGACAGAGAATAAACGTATCAACGTATGTTTTTCAACCCATATGATCTTAGATTTTCTGATTTTTCTGAGAAATAATTGTTAATAGATTCTTTTGATTCCTTTTTTTTTTTTTTTTTTTTTTAATTTTTCAGATTTTTAACGTTATTATCAGCAGTAACGGAACTTCACGATACCATCTCAAATTGATTTTTTACTTTTTAATGATTTCACATGCGAAGTCGACTTTCCTTTTAGAAATCCTATGGAATAAACTAATCATTCAAAAAATCGTAAAATCAAGCAAAAAAAGGGTTAATTATTAGTCTAAAGAATGCCCATTGAATTGAAACTGTTACATTTGGCTTCGACTGCATCATGATAAAGCTGTTCGAAGGTTAGGTTTTGCTATTAAGAAAACGATGAATTTATGTAGTGAGTTCTTCTCGAGGTTGAGTTTGTCAGGTTTGAGTTGCGAGTTGCCTCTGCTAAATAGCGTTTTGTGCCAATCGCACCAACCCAATGCTTCCTAGCTTCATTTGTTTGGGTCACCCACGTTATGTATAAAGATCACTAATAAAGCTGAGCTGTAACTCTTTTGTATGGAGAATACCTAAAGTAGTATTTGAGTTACCAGTAAACCAATTTTCAAATAGCCTGAAATATTTATTTGGGAGAAAACTTTAAAACCATAGCCAAGTAAGTTGTTAGTATTATCACTAGATGATAGTAAATATATTTGTTTTTCTAGAAACAGTACTAGTATTAATGTAATTAGAGTGCTAATACGATTTCGGCAAATCATCTTTAAGAATAAACTTATTTGTTTGTAGTGTAAGAAATTATATTTCACATTCTGTTTCTATCGCATTATGAGCTTTATCAACAGCCATGTGCGTCTAATCTTTGATCTCGAAGGCAGAAACATATGCTCATCATCAATAACTTGGACTCGAGATCATCAATAAACGGGACTAACCTTTCGAAATTTAAATTGAAAACATACAGTTGTACGAGCATTCACAATTCAAGAATATTTATCTCCCTTCCCAAGTATACTTGAAGATGGAAGTGATCCGTGAAATATATCAAAATTTGCTAGAATGCATTATTATCTATAAATTTAAGTAATAAATGAGGAGAATTTCTTCCCTTTAATACTATTATATTGCGACTGAAGGTTAATTCATATGATATGAGACTAACATCCAAAACTCACTGTATTCAACTTATTTAGCTGCTTTTAGATTTTTAGTGGAAAGCATGAAAACTTCCTTCAGTTCACAGTGACGAAACATGTGCTCAGGCAATCCTTTCTTTGGTATCCACATAAAACTAAATAACTGCATCTGTTCATGAAGAAAGATTCAAAAGCATTTTATTACTTTATGTAGGTATATTTATGTACTTGCTTCTTAATTACCTTAGAATTTAATTAGACATCTGTAATTAAACTGAGCTTCTGAATATTTTCTGTTAACAGAGTTCAAAGCTCTTAGATATTATTTGTATGTATGAATGCTAAATTAGACGCAGTGTCGGATTTACGTATAAGGCTAAACACGGTATAGCTTAGAGCCTCTACTTTCTTGGCCTTTCCCCCGAAAAATTATAGCATTCCCCTTACAAAAAAAAATTGACTTATATCCCTCATAAAGAGTCCCTTATCTCAAATACCTTAGGCTCTCGCCAAATCTAAATCTGGTCTTGATTAAACATGGGTCAACAGAAAGACAAGATTAATGCTCTTTCAAGATCAAGTCTTTCCGACGCTCGAGACAGTGACATCACTGCACCACAGATGTCAAACAGAAAAACAGTTCATTTGCTGATTGGAGAGCTACGTATTCGTACCGCACTAATGGGAAACGGGATTTTACGAGTCGAAGAAGTCAACGTCACCACACTGTTCGACCTTGCCGGAGAAGAGCAAACCTTGTACATTTTTTACCGTGAGTAAACTCGCGAAAACTGACCATGCAGCCAACCTATTTGCTTGCATTGAACTCAGAACTAACAACCCGTATTTAGCAGTTTTAACCACTCAGACACTTGTGGGTCCAGCTAAGTTCTGGGAAAGGGCTTTAGTTCTGCATGAGCTTCTCTACCGGGATAGTCCTTAGTGACTTTGACTGCCGTACGGAAGCGCCCATATTCGAAACCTGGAGAAAAATGGATTTTTTATAAATGTATAGTGTATGTGCAGCACGGAAGTACTCTAAATACGCGGCGAGCCACAAGTCGGCTCGAGAAGTTAGTGGTTGGAGAAGAAGGGGGGGGAGACCATTGGACCCATCTTTTCCGGGGTGCTTTCCTTCAAAATTGGAGACGGAACTGAGCAAAGTCGTATTGTTACCTATATGGTTCCCAAGGCTCTTGCATACTCAATCTTGCCTCCTTGCACGACGAATTTCGTGGGCCTGCTGTGATATCAGACAAGCGGAATTCGTCATAAGAACAACAACAGTTCTAGGTGAAATTTAAGATTTTTTGAAGCCTGTTATGTTAGTTATCGTAATTACAAATCTGGAATTTGAATTAATAATCAGTACAAATAAGAAAGCTGTAGAATTGTAACCATTAAGATTGATGCATTTTATTACTCTTCTTCCTATTTTGCAGGTATTTGAGAAAAAATGACGACTACTGGAAAAAGCGTGGAGTTCCTTTTGCTCCTCGTGTTAACACCATAACTGCAATTCTCACTTTTGCTTTTAAGGTGAGGTTTATGTTCATAAGTGACATTTCTTCATAATATCAGAAATCCATATTAATAATCCTTTTCTAATGGCAGCCACTTCATGAAGAGATATTGAACTCGTACAAGAAATATGGTAGACTATTTGGGTAAGTACATTTATCGCCTCTTAGATTGTAATTTTGCATTAAAGCAATCAGAAAAAAGACACAATTAATTTCGAAAATTTATTCGAAATAAATCCTGTCTCATCCCTTCAAAATTCTGTATTTTCACATTATATTTCAATTTTCGTCAAATGGAAAGTCTGCAAATTTGAACTCCCATATTTATATTTAAAGAGAATGACATAATTTAAAGTTAGCTTCTGAAAGTTTTATACACAGTACAGAAAAATATTTTAAATGGGAAATTTTTATCGTCACAGGCAAACTTTTTGACAAAAATGTGTCGACATTTCGAAATTTCAAAAAGTTGCCAAGACAGTGCTGCATTAATAAATGTCTCGGGTACAACAATGACAATTCTATGTCTCCAGTTCTACTGGCCCAATTGACGAAATCGAACTTGCGTTTTTCATCTCTCGAAACCGCGACTTAGGGTATACATTAGATTTATATACAGCATTGTTCTAATATAAGTATAATAATTCTTTTGACACAAAATCGGACTTTTTCTGAAATGACATATCGATTTTTTTCCATACTTCGATTCTACGACTCAAATTATGCCAAACTGCAAAGTTTTCTAAAAATCGCACGAGTGGTTTTTAAAATATTAGCTCTCAAAATTTTAGCTCCTCCATGTTAATTGAATATATTTATTAATATCTCTTTTTTATTGAACTTATTTGATTCAGCCTATCATATTTTCGAAATTTAGGTTCATTCCAAATAAATTCGTCTATTTTTTATGATTTATTTTTAAAATTTGTATTCTAAAATAATTTTTATAAATGTTTCGCAAAAAAAAATTTTGAATTATATCCTATAAAAGTTTTGCCATTATCTTAAAGTAGATGTGTTTCTAAGCATACCTACAAAAATTAAGAGTTTTTTATTAAAAATTTCTTAAGATATACGAGAATTTGCATTTTGGCGCGTTTTGAAATTTGGCGTATTTGTTATAAGCGTATGGCGTATTTATTATATTTATTATAAGGGGTAATAATGAAAATGTGGTTTACGCATTTTGTTAAAATTATTTGAATGTATGAACGACTTTTTCCCGCTCGTCGACAATTAAGAAAAAGGCAAAGAAAATAGGTTGCTATAAATTAACAAGTTCGCCAAGTGAATTATTCTTGGCGCAAACGGAAAAAATACGCCAAGATAAATTTTTAAATTTCTCACCGAATATTACAAAATAAAATATCTAGGCATAAGAGTCGTAGAATCGAAATATGGAAAAAAATTGGTATGTTATTTCAGAAAAGTTCGAATTTGTGTCAAAATACCTATGTTAGAACAAAGCTATATATAAATCTAATATATATCTCAAGTCGAGATATGGAAAACGCAATTTGAGTTTCGTCAACAGGCTCAGTAGAACGGGAGATATAGAACTGCCCCCCCCTTTTTTTTCGCAGTGTACATATACATGATTTGAATGGTTTTTGTGCGCTGATCACATTGTTACGTGCGTACGGGTTCGTAATAGTTTGAATACTGAAGTCCGATAAAAGTTTAATAAAATTTATTGTTATCAAAAGAAATATAACAGAACACTGGAATTTTCCTGAGAGATATTCGTACAAGTACACATTATCACGCATTATAATCAGTAATTATACTCCAAACTACTAATAACGTTAAATAGAACGCAATGCACAGCGTATTTAAATAGGAAGCTAATCGGATTTATCTCAGTTCACGCGGAACTACAGTTGGCAATAACAATAACTAAGCAACTGACTAAACAACTGAACTGAGATGTCTCTCTCCGACCTTTTATAGTAGTTGCGTGTAATAATTCTAGCATTTTGTGCTTCTCGAGATTTCTCTAGAAATCAATAAGAGGATGAAATTACGGCTATAGTTAGCATAATAGTCAATTACATTTATTCAGTTTCAATACAAATTACCGAGATATCCATTAATTCTATGTTAAATTAACGTGCATAGCTTTCTCTTAAAACTTGTCTGCACGGCAGGGGGAAATAAAACAATTTTGATTATCATTCTACTAAATATAGTTATCTAAATACAAAATTCACAACAATATATTGATCTAATTTATAGCATTTTAATTGAGGGAAATGATTGACTGATTTTTGAAGCCAATTCAATAGCTCATCAAACTTGAAATCGATGCTTTTGAACTTTTGAGGTCATCAAATTTTTTGTTAATAATTATTTCCGTCCGCAAACTGAAAGCAGTTTACAGTTCCCCAGTCTGCCAATTTGCCGCCTAGACGGTATAATGGTTAGGGTAGCCGACTGCGATACCAAATGACTCGGGTTCGAATCCCGGAGAAGGTATGGTGGTAACTGCCCGTCTCTTCATAGGAGGCAAAGATGGCCCACCTATTAGGTGCCTCCATAATAAAGTAACCACCCCTTCTGGCCTTAGTAGTGGCCAAGCTGAAGTCGGCTGAAGACCCGCCATTGGTTTAAAAAAATGTCCAGTTTTATTGCTGGTACCTACAAAATGTTCTAAAATAAGTTATTATTTTGATCACGTTTTTCGGTGTACCTCATATATACCACACATTTAAAACCTTTCCACTGCAGCATAACATAATGGTGATACGCTTCAGTTTCTCTTCGTAAGGAACTCATCAGCGGTCGAGTGGCACAATCGCCGAATGCTAATAGTTCGACTTGGGTTCATATCTTGTCGAAAAGCTGGCAGCATAGTGGTTTACCCCAATTTTAATACGAGCCTGTGTCCCTTAGAAAGTTCCTCGCGAAATCATCCATCCTCTTACGAGGAAGGTCTTCAAACCATAAGCTGTTTGAGTTCCTGGGAAGGAAAAAAGTAGTAGTACTTGCGTAACCAGAGCAAGCGTGGTAGTAGAATTCGATAAATTTTCAGAATGCGTCAAATTCTGTTCTTCAGTTTTTAGGAGTGATCACTGCTTTTCCCCTTAGTAATGGCCAAAATCTATGATGGCTTGTGTGCCCGACATTGGGGAAAAAATACACTGTTCTACCACAGGCGGGCCCCTGTTCCACAGATCACGTAATTTAAGTAACAGAAATTATTTGAGGTTCGTATAACGCGAATGGGCTGGCTGCATGGACCGTTTTGGGGTTTTCCCCATGTGTGACGTGTATACGAGCCAGTTATCCTTAGAAAGTCCTCCACGAAAGCATCCATCCCCTTTGGCAGATAGCTCTCGTGGCTTTGCCGTAATCACATAAACCAAACCAAAGCAAATAAGTTTTTAGGAAACACAGTCGCCATTTTCATACCTATTCTTTTTGCTTCAGTCCTGTTTCCAGCGATTTTTTAACAAATTATTAAACCCTAAACTCAATCTCCCTAAATTGTAAAATATATATTTGTGAGGTTTGATGCAATGAATGAACTGTGGTAAATTTTCTGCAGGAATCCAGTATTTTGCTGTAAAATTGCCAAAAAGAACAATTGTTTTGAATCGAGCAAACGCCGTGAAATTTCCACTTAGAACAAAGGAAGCGAAAACCCGCTTGTAACATTTATTGACTGATTCTCTAAATAAATACCCATTTAAAACATAAAATGCCTATATAATTTTTTCCTTAAATAAAAAATCGCCAAACTGCTCCAAGGTAATTGCGATGATACTTAAATACCAAATATATGTTAATCTATTCATCTAGAAATACAATAAAAAAATTAGTAGGTAATTTTTTAAAAAGGGACAGGAAGTTAAAAAAATTAAAAGAGTAATAATGAGCTTTGGCGATACAGCGCTTTTTGGCAACATTCAACATTTTCAGAGAACAGTTTTGAAAATTTGTAAAGTCGCCAAGTTGATGGATTCATTCAAGGAAAATGTAAAATGATATACGAACAGATTTTGTTGTTACTTTGTGCTCACTTGTCTGACAGCAACATCAGCCCAAGCCCAGGAAGTTCCTCGTAACAAGGAGCGCTCCAAGATACGCCTACCGTTGGCAACAGCCTTGAGCACCATACAGGTGACAGGGCGATTTTGCTCAGTTCAGCCCCCAACTTTGTTGGAGAGCACCCCGGGGGACGGGTCCGGACGGGTCCCACCCCTCTCCCGTTCTACCAAGCCACACGAGAGGACTTTCGGCTCGCCGCATATTTAGAGTGCCGCCATGCCGCACAGACACTGTACATTTACAAACATCCATGCCTTCTCCGCGATTTGAACTCGGACCCTTCGGGAGGGCAGTACCGATTGGGCAACATACGAAGAAATAAAGAAAGATACATATTTTGGCATTTAGTATGAGTAACTTAAAATGAAAACCTGAGCAGAACAGATGAAAGTTTAATCTTTAAAAAACTAGGCCAGAATACAGAAAATTCTGTTAAAGTTTTACTGTGTAAAGATGTCTCGTGTTGTAGACATTATGGCACAATGCAAATAGTTACACACTTTACGTGATAATGAGTATTGATTACGGATTAAAATGGATGCATAGACGAGAAACAGTGTATAAGGTATTTCTCCCGCTTTCCTAGCGTAACTTCGTGATGTAGTGGTTCTGCACGCTGGGCCGGTATTCCAGAGGTCCGTTATTCGATTCCCGGCAAAGGCGTTGTTAATTTTTCATTTTGCGCGTCTCCAAAAAATACCTAATGTGAAAAAAGGTTAAAGCAGTAGTTTGTTAGCAGTAGTTTGTAGCACCAGTTGCATTCAGTGAACTTAATCGAATCACAAATTTCACGACTACAAATAACTGCCAGTTGGTTTAAGAAATACAAATTCCACAAGGTTTTCGAATTCATCCAGTTGCCCGATTGTATATGAATCTGCATATATAAAACGCTTGTATATGAACTTTGAGTAGTATTTCCACATGTTCATTGAATGAGGTGATTATAAATCCATTGCGTATAATGGCTTGCAGCCTGAAGATACTGTTATTTTTTAATAGATTATATGAAAGTTGGTCAGTTGTAATAATATCGAAAAGTTTCCAAATTCAAAACCTTTCTATATTCAGAGATTACATCAGAAGTTGCATTTCTTTCCCCATGACGTGTGAAACTTCAATCAGATTCTGAACAGATTCGTAGGCGTGCAGATTTTGAGCATTTTTTAAACGAAGAGCAGATTCGTAGGCCTTTATGTAAACATTCGCGGTTCGCAGACCCTCATATAAAAACATTCTATAAATAATCAAAATAAAAATAGTAGGAATTTACTGGATGACTGATATTTTATTTGGTAAATTATTGATTTATGGATGTGTTTTCCACCAGGAGCTTCGAATTTCGAACACCGCAACTCTTAGTTGCCGACCCTGAGCTTCTGAGAGACATATTGGTGAAGGATTTTCATATTTTTCCAAATAGAAGGGTAAGACAATTTAATAGAACAATTTTCTTATCTTTTATATTAACATTTGATTAAAACAATCAGTTTTAATTGACTGTAATTCAGATGAAAATATGATAAAAATGAAGTGAAGTATGCGCAGGTGTACGAAAAGTAAGAACGAAGCGAAGAAATTAGAATAATAGCGAAATGAATAGTCAAAAGCGTTCAAAAAGGCCAATCTGGAAATCAGTTACAATGTAGCATAATAGGGCGTGTTCAAATGTGCAGATTGACTTTATAAAGGCGTGTGAAAAACAGGAATATGGTGTGCGTGCGTTTAGCATGTAAGTGAAAAATCATTAATTTTATTCTAAACTTCACAAATGTTTTTCAGTTAATTATTTTTTATCAGAATTGCTTCATGTAGTTGCTGAATAAAGTTCGAAATTACAAAATCTTGTTAATTAAATTTTCGAAATAAAATTGTTAAAAGCTGATGTCTTTGGAATGTTAAAAGCGATCTGTTTAGTATTATCTCTTTAAGAAGGTTAAAAATTCACTCTTTAATCTCAAAGCTGTACTTGGGATTATCGTACAATCTTAGCAATAAGGCTGTTCTAGAAAAAAGCGGCTTTGTTTTAAGTTTTTCTTCCAAGTGCTTTTGTCATTTAAAGATAAAATTAATTAACTGCTTGGATTGAAATTTATACACAGTATGCCTAATAAATTTTAACTTTTTGATACATTTTGAATTTTAGGTTTAGATAAATTGGTTTAGGAATTAATCACATTTAAATACATTTTTATTCAGAAATATTTGAATTTGTTTATTCACTTTCCACAGATTTTTCACGCTCATACAGAGGTAGCTTGCAGATATGCTTGACCTTTTGACGGTCATCTACGAGCTCTTCTCGCGTTCCAGTTATTAACCGCAGTGGGAGCAAACGAACGCAGCTGGCACTGCTTAATTGCATAGGGAAAAACGAATTGCTTAATCTGTGCCGAATGATTGATGGGGTTAATGCATCAAATACACCCGACGCTAGAGGAAACGTTTTCGAGAAACTTGTTTCCTCCAGCACTGGCGAATAAGTTTTCCTGCGCATGCTATGTCTCATGTAACAGAAAGCACAAAGTGTACATCTAGGAACTCTCTGCAGAAGCCAACCAAGCGATGATTCCCGAAAATGTTTCGTCATCTTGTTTTACTGGAGCGTTGAAGTTGATACCTTCTAATCCTGGTAAGGTATCTGACCATCACAAGGAGTCAAAGGCTTCAGGATATTGACAGACATCAAAAGGGTGTGGAGTCTCGCCACTATGTTGGCTTTCATTTACGTATCTTTGAGAATATAATCCATAGACTTCTCTTGAGAGAAACCATATTGTCTGGCATCCGCGATATTATAAGATGACAAATAATAGTCAGAACGAGAGATAATAATCTCTTCCATCATGCTGCGAAAAGCTGACAGACAGAAAAGTGGACTGTACTTTAAAAGTGCTTTCTTTTTAAGAAAAAAGACGACATCTGCTCGCTTGATCCTAGTCAGAAAGTGTCTAATCTTCCAACAAGTGCAAATGAGGTATTTTTGAGCTCTGGGTAAGCCATAAAAGTGACTTGGATGATACTGTTATCAATACCATCAAGATGACCTACAGATTTTCTCTTAACAAGAGCTTCTACCATTTTTGAGATTTCAAAGTCGGACACAGCTGGGTGTGCATGTTGCACATTTAGCGGCTTGCAGTTACAACAGATGGGAGACACATAATGTTGGAGTGTCGAGGTGGGGATTATGTTCAATAAAGATGATGTTTAATGTATATTATATAACTATTTCTTTGATGGAGGTTGATGGAAAACCTATGGCTAGTGGAAAGGGGGAAAAGTTTCTAATATACTGATCTATTGATAGCTGTAGTGTGTGCAGAATTTTTGCCGGTTACCCACTCTGCTTTACAGATGTCTCTTGGGAAAACGCTGTGTTATTTCTTCTTTCGAAAAGTAGTTACATGCGTTGACTATTTTGATAATCATAAAGTTTTAGGACGGTGTTTCAAGGTTTGGAGTTCAAGAGGCAACGGAATTATTCCAGCAGAGAATCAATATGAGGCATCAGTGCCTGTTTGAATTGATAAAACTTTCCATGTTAGGTTTTGTACCCTTTTCGGTGCGACTGGTATAGTGGTTAGTATTCCTGACTGTCACATCGGCGGGCCTGGGCTCGAATCCCAAGGAAGGCATGGACGTTTGCGAACGTATAGCGTCTCTGCGCAAGGGGCACTCAAATTACACAACGAGTCAAAAGTCCTATCGTGAAGTTGGTGTTAGGGAAAGAAAAGTGGAATATCATCAGACCGCCCCTCTCGCGGGGTTTTTCTCAAATTTGGAGTGAACTCTTAACAATTAAGGCTCGGTGATACATAATATATAGCTACGAGAATGCACAGGTGCCTTCAAACTGTACCTTTAAGCAATCATTTTATAGTCGCTAAGTAAAGTGGTTTCTAACACCTGTCTTGGATATGAGAGTATCTTTCGGTCATCTATTTAGCTTTGGTAATACTACTAAAAGCTGACGCACTGGTGTATTATTTATAGGGCTTCCTGGATTCGAATCCTGGAGAAGGCATGGATGTTTGTTAACGTATTATGTCTGTACAGCAAGGGTACACTCAAAATACGTGGTGAGCCGAAAGTCCTCTCGAAAGGTTGGTGACAGCCCCCTAGTTGATCTCTTTCAAAACTGGGGGAGCGTAACAGTTAACTAGGTTCAGCAGTATCTCAATCACCCATGGTACTACAGAGAGCACTCTTATTGAGTGGTAGATGAGGTGAGTTAGAAGGTCACATTAGATGACACCAGCTTTAATACTTTTGACGGGAAAAACTGGTGACACCATAGTTGTTCCTCCGATACATCTTTTCTGGACGAATGTGTTCCGAGTTCCTCTTTATGTGACATCATTACGCTTAATCATGCAGCAGCTATCACTGAGCTAGTGGAGTTCAAGATATTCGCCGTATTTATTGATCCCCACGGTCTCCGACGGAAATCTAATCGCACACATGTTGGACATTCTTCGGAAGTGCTTCAGCCTGGCATAACGTTGCTACGTCGTTTGCAATGAGCAACGATATGGTAACTGCGATCGGTGCTTGAGAGTCATGGGCCATTTTGAATCAAGAGATCCTTGACGTTTTTGTACAGAGCATAAAATTCAGTGTAAATTCTGCAATCCAATCAATGCAATTATAGTCCTATTGAGGATTTCATTTTTCATGTTTGCCGCATGTCGCATGTATTCTGTCTTGCTGTATTCAAAGCCTACTTTCGAACAAAAGTTCTTTGTTCTCCTTGGATTCTTTCTTTATTATTTACTTTAGTCTTAGATTTCGACGAAGTTATGCAATGCTTTGCGCGAGTATAAAATACTGTTTCTCGACGTTACGAGTGAAGTAGAAACAGCTAAAAGTTTAACAAAGTATCAGATACACTACGAAAAAAAAAAAAAGGAGGAGACAGTTCTATATTTCTCGTTCTACTGGGATGATTGACGAAATTCAACTTGCGTTTTTCATGTCTCGAAAGGGAGACGTAGGATATGTATTAGATTTATATATAGCATTGTTCTAATATAGGTATTTTAACACAAAAAGACTTTTTCTGAAATAACATACCAACGTTTTTCTATATTTCGATTCTACAACTCAAATTACGCCAAACCAGTAAGTTTTGTAAAAGTCGCACGAGTCGTTTTTAAAAAATTGGCTTTCAAAATTTTAGCTCCTCAATGTTAATTGGGGGGGGGGGGGGGGGGGGGGGGGGGGGGGGGGGGGGGGGGGGGGGGGGGGAGTTTGGGGGGGGGGGGGGGGGGGGGTATTTATTATTTATTAATCTTTTTTTTTATTAAACTTTTTTATTTTCCTTTCACATTTCGAAATTCGGGTTCATTCCAAATAAAATTCACCCATTTTTATGATTATTTATTTTTAAAATTTGTATTTTAAGTAATTTTATAAATTTTCAAAAAATTGAATTACAGTGTCTCATAAAAGTGATGGGACACTTGTGCTTTACAAAAGAAAACTGTAATAAAATTAATTTAAAAAACATGTAAACATTTTTTGTGGGTGTGTTTCATACTTAAATTAAGTAACAAATATTAAATAACATACATTTCCTCAAAATATTAAAATATTAATTTAATAAAACTACAGTTGTTTAGAACGGAGCAAAAAATGGCTCACATAAGTGATGGGACACCATTAGATACTAATATCGTACTACAATAAAAAATATTTTGGGGGTTTTTATTTTTACTTCAAAAGCAATTGGCAATAATTTATAAAATCGTCTGCAGTATTTCTCTCCAGTTTGTTTTGGAATTTTTGTGTTTTTTAGCTCTGTGCAGCCATGAATGCTAAACGAAAAGAAACTTTGCCTGAAATTCGAAAATTAGTTATTAATTTGCATATTGAACGTGGAAAATCTATTAGAGAAACTGCTGAAACAGTTGAGTTATTCAACAGTTTTCAATATCATTAAACGATATAAAAAGAATCATATGATTCAGGATAAAAGAAGACCTGGCCGACCATCAAAGCTATCCAATGGAATAAAGCGAATTATCGTTCGAAATATTAAAAAAAATCCAAGAATGAGTGCTCCTAAAGTTGCTGCTGATTTACAAGCATTATATGGAGTAATTGTTAATCCTGAGACTATTAGAAGAGTAATTCGATCTGCTGGATATCACGGTAGAGCAGCCAGGAAAAAATTCTTCGTAAGTGAAAAGAATAGAAAACTCAGACTGGCTTTCGCAAAATCCAACATAAATAAGAATTCTGATTACTGGAATGAAGTTATATTTGCTGATGAGAGTAAATTTAATATATTTGGTTCTGACGGTAGAATCTTGGTGTGGAGAAAACCCAGGGAAGAATTTCGCAAACAGAACTTGGTGCCAACAGTAAAACATGGTGGAGGAGGAGTTATGGTATGGGGGTGTATGTCGTCCGCTGGAGTTGGTAATCTTGTTTTTATTGACAGTATAATGGATCAGTACAAGTATATTGACATTTTAAATCAAAATTTGAAATCTTCAGCACGAAAATTGAACCTTCATAACGATTTTAAATTCTACCAGGACAATGACCCCAAGCACACTGCTTTGAACGTTAGACTCTGGCTGCTGTATAACTGTCCTGAAATAATAAAAACACCACCACCACAATCTCCAGACTTAAATCCCATAGAGAATATTTGGCAAGAATTGGAATCAAGAATTCGCAAACACACCATTTCTTCAAAACAACAATTAAAATCGGTGCTTCAAGAAGAATGGGGTAAAATCACTCCAGAAATCACAAAAAAATTAGTCGAATCCATCCCAAGAAGATTAAATCATGTTTTAAAAGTAAAAGGAAATCCAACAAAATATTAAAACCTTTTAAAAAGTAAATTTTTGGATAAATATTTGATGGAAAAGTAAGTGTCCCATCACTTATGTGAGCCATTTTTCGCTCCGTTCTAAACAATTGTATTTTTATTAAATTAATAGTTTAATATTTTGAGAAAATGTATGTTATGTAATAATTGTTACTAAATTTAAGTATGAAACACACCTACAAAAAATTTTTACATGTTTTCTTAATTTATTTTACACACCACAAGTGTTCACTTTTGTAAGACACTGTATAATCTATAAAAATTTTACTATCATCTTAAAGTAGATGTATTTCTAAACATACCTGCAAAACATTACAGTTTTTTTATTCAAAATTGCTGAAGATATACGTGAATTTATATATTGGCGGGTTTTGAAATTTGGCATATTTGTTGAAAGCGATAAAACATCAAATGTGGTTTAGATACTTTGCTAAAATTATTTGAAAGTTAGAACGATGTCACTTTTTTCCCGCTCATTCGCAATGTAAAACGATAAGAACGAGGTGCCTTTTTTTTCGCTTCGGCATGACTGAAGCGAAAGGAAAATTGGTTGCCACACATTAAGAAGTTCGCAAAGCGAATTATTCTTGGCGCAAACTAAAAAAATTGCGCCAAAATAAATTTTTCCGTAAATTTCGCACCAAAATTTTACAAAATTTAATGTCTAGGCATAATTTGAATCGTAGAATCGAAATATGGAAAAAATGGTTTGTTACTTCAGAAAATGTCCGATTTTTGTGTCAAAATACCTATGTTAGAACATGGTATATATACATTTAATATATATCCTAAGTCGCGCTTTCGAGACATGAAAAAGGCAATTTGAATTTTGTCAATCGGCCCAGTAGAACGGAAGATATAGAATTGTCCCATTTTTTTTTCTTTTTTGCGCAGTGTACATTTTATTACCAAGCATTTATAAGGTGTGACGAGCTACGATAGATATCTAAAAATTAGACAAGAAAGTAAGCTTAGTTTGGTACTGATTTTGAGTAAAACTCTATAGATTTCTAAAGCGATCAGACACGTCCCTCTTCTTCAGGAGTAAAAATATGAAGCTTCTCCAGTTGAGATAGCTTTGTAAAAGAGAAAGAGAGCTTCGGTGATCAGCAAGCCATGTTTGGGGCAGCTGCAGAAGGACAGGGAAGTGGCGAAAGCTGACCGGAAAATATGAAGAGGTTTGCAGAATCCGAAACGTGGTGACTTGCAGGCACCTACCTATACAATACGAACAATACATGTATGCAGAAACATTAAAGAAAAATTCTATGTACAATATAAAATATCATCTGTTCTGACAAAACAGCAATTACTTTGAAGTGATTGCTTCTTGAGTAAACAGGAAGAAATAATATGGAAGTAACCTATGTACAGGAACAAAAATTTTTCAAAATTGCTCTTTCAAGGGCAAAACAATCAAAAAACTGTGAGTTAGCTCGCTTCCCTCCTGAAGTAATTTAGACTTCAGCTTAAATACTCGTCTTTACCTTATTTGCATAAAGCGTAATACTGAAAACTCATTCTGTGAGGAAACGTAGGTGAAAAATTAGTAGGTAAAGGAAAGGTGTGTTCCAAAATAAAAACAAGTATTAGAAAAATAAAGTAAAATCCTACAAATTAATAAAGATAGTTTAGTTTTTTGAAGCTAGTAACGTCAAAAATCAGTTGTGTCCTCGTCGTAATTCAAATGACGGTTCTTTCCAGTTTAGTAACTACAGGTATTAATCACTTAATACAGATAGTACGCATAGAGAATGTATATAACTCTTTATAAAAAGTCAGATTTTTTTTCCTTTTCCTTAATGTTAATAAATAGCTATTTTGTAAAAATTATGTTAATTTTATTAACAGTGGAATTTTGAGTTAAGCTTTCTTTCCTGTCGATTCTTACTTCAACTTACCACTTCCGGCCAGAACGTAGTTTTAGAATAACTTCTGAATATTAATGAAGAAGAGTGGTATATAACCGCGAAGTTCTACAGTCTTAGTGAGAGAGATACCAGATATTCTGGCTGCACGCGCCTTCCTTTCTAGTTTCCTCTCGTAAGCTATTATTACGCTCGGCGGTACTTTAGGCCCTTGATAGCTTCGCAGTCAATTAACGTTAAGGTCCAGTTCTGTAACAATCTTTCAACTCTGTTAGAATCTTGATAGCTTCGGCTATATCTCTTTAGTTACGATTAGTTTAGTTTAATTCTTAGTCTCTTAAGTTCAAACCCAAGTGTCGGCTTTATTGTTGAACTCTAAGACAGAGTTTTGTTAAATTTTAATTGAAATAATAAAGGGTTATTTTACTCTTCTATCTTGTTGTTTCCTGTCACACGAACTCAAGCGATTATTCGGTTATCAGTTCTTAAGATTCTTCACTTCCAACAGTAACTTAGAATTACACAGTGGAAATTCCTACAATTTTATAAATAGCAGTAAATGGTACATAGTTAGCTGTAAAAGCCGAAATAGTTTAACAAGTTCAGCGGATTAATTTGCTCGGCTACTAGTACATAGCTGAGAAATTATTAATGGGAGTTGGAACCCCAAAATCTTCAAAAAATTGTGATTTCGGATTTTTGCATTTTCAAATTCTCTACACTTTTATCTTTCTAAAAATACCATTCTTTAATCTCTATGAAAATTAGAACTGTAAAAATATCTAGTTTTAATTTGTCATCTACTCCTTTGATCAATGAGAATTTTTACATAAAAACGCGTTTTTCTCCAAAAGTGATTTTTTTTATACTCGATGTACTTTTTCTCAGAAGGTATCTAAACTTTTTATGGCTTATTTATTAGGCTCCCTAATATTTACTGAAATGAGCTTTTTGTAATAAACTTAGAAAAACAAATTTTTTAATTTTTTTTGTGTGAGAAAAGTGCTAAATTTTACTATGCCTGACAAAATATCCTGTAATTTACTCTAAAATTCAAAATGTTTCAAAAGCTCATTTCAGTATAATCAAATAGGTATACTTTAATTATAGAAAAAATTTCGAGCTTGTATCTACAGCAGATTTTGAGAAAAGGTATACATCGAAAATGGCCAATTTAACATTGTCGGTATAGGGGTTTCTGATACCCCTTAATAACATTACATTTAAAAATTATTGGATGAAATTCTGATTTATTCTTGTTTAACCAGCTTTTATTCTCTATACGGACTGGCCACCGAAATAAAAATGTATAAATTTGAACCAGTTAGTTGCTTTCCTAAATTAATATCTCAAAAACAATTCCAGGAATAAATATACATTTATTCTAGTAATTTAAAGAGATTATTTTTAAATAATTTAATTTTTTGGGGTAAAGAAATGCTTTAATGTGAGTCTGTTTTGAAATATTTTTAAATATATCAAGAACTGAGACTTGTGTATAATTTAATTCGTACAGGAGATTTATATGGGTGACCCAACAGTGGACAGTATGGTTACATCATTGAAAGGTGCAGAGTGGAAAAGGGTGCGAACTATAATCACGCCAGTTTTTACGTCTAAGAAAATGAGGATTGTAAGTATCTCCTGTGCACTTTTTTATAAGTGTGCATAAAATTTTAATTTATTTGAATTATTTATAACAGTTACCGTTTTTAGCTGTTCTCACAACATTTTAATTATTTATCATACGCGAGCTTAGTGGATAATCACAGCCATATATTTAACTGCAAATTATTCGAATAAATTATCCTATTTATGGTCTTATGCCCTCGTACAATCGCAAACAGAAAAATCTGTATTTTGTTTTTACTTACTACTATCTTTAATCTTGGGCGAATCAGCATTCTCTGCAGTAAAATCTCTGAAATATATAGAGAGAGTATCCAACTGGTGTATTTTGAAGATGATTTGAATGCTAATCTGTGTACCGCATAAGACCTTTGTGAAACACTCCAGCCGTAGATTTTAGATTAATTATGTATTAATAATAATAATTTAAAGAACCAGCCATTGCATCACGAGAAGCCGGTGGTCAATTTAGGGAGTCGTTAACAGATTAAAGCTGAGAATTATTAGCATAAAACATTAGTTATTCAACACTTCAGGAAACTTTATATTACTCGTTTTGGCTATTTATTATTTACGTAACATATTTACTAAATTTAGGGATTAGCTTGGTAAAAAGTGTAAATATGTAAAATTTACCATAGGTTTAGTTAGTCTTCGATATACATATCTCACAAGTCCACACACTTAGTGGCATGCAACCTGCTGTATATATACTTGTGAAAAATCTACTTTTGGTACTGTACCTCGTAACAGTTACTAGCCAGCCTTTACAACCTCCAGTCCTGCTACAGTCGCATCAACTTTACTTGTGTATTCTGTGGACTTGGGTTCTACCTTATTTCCCTCGTCTGAAATGCTATCATAAAATGTTACGTCACTCAATCTGCACCCAAGATGAGGCTAAGACTAGGTACCTGCTTCTGTGAAATCTATCGTAACAATTACTTGCACTTCCAGAATGAAGTAAACCTGTAGGTTTATCAGACAGGATTTCAATTTGGGGCATAAAAAATTGGAATTTGTGTCATATTGGGCGAATAAGGTGGGTATTACAAACACTTGTTTCTCTGTTAAAAGCTGCTGGACTACAATTGCTTTGTGGTAAAACGCATTTTCATTCTACAGGATGCATTCATTCTAAAGATTCTACATATCATTCTACAGATTCAGTCAGCTCTAGTGCCTTTAACGCGAGCTTTAAAAAAAGCTTTATTTACAGTTACAGGGGAGGCATATGATTAACGATTAGATAATTAATAACTTTAATTGAAAGCTGAATAATGACTGAGTAAGGAATTGTAAAAAGTATGAAAAAGCCAGATACCGTCACTCAGGTGAGCTTCATTAAAGGAAAGGCAGACCTCTGTAAATTCTCTGACGTTATCTATGACATTCCTGGCAAATTCACTGGAAATGCATGAATTTTTTCTCGGATGTAATTTTTCAGTATCTTAAAAGTGAAGTCAGTGAGCATAGACTTTATCTTTCTAATATTCCCGACAAGCGTGGAGGGCATTTAACACTTTCGAAATGAGGGATGAAACGTCATGGAAACATTCTTTATATCAGCGGTCACCAACCGGTGGTCCGTGAAAATGTTTTTATGATCCACAGAAAAATTGGGACATTATTTACATTTTTATAAAGATTTAGTTTTAAAAATGACGAGTAACAAAACCTATTATGGAATATGGATTATACATTTCTTTAATTTTAGATACTACTTTTAGCGAAATTCCTTCTGAATTTAGCGACTTTTTCGCTACTTTTGCAGGTGTATCTAGCGACATTTGAAAGTGAGAATTGGCATCCATGGATATGCTGCTGTTATCAATAATAGCGTGAATTAGAATTCTCTTCCCTTTTGAATTACAAACATATGCTATTCTAGTCGTTAATAACACAGTTTTTCTCCATGCCAATAGGCATCTTGATGGATTTTTATGAGAATTATCTGCATTCTTGTTTAATTGCATCACTGGAAGTTTCCGTTTTTGTTTTGTCTAACTGTTTATCGATGGCGCCATTGCTGATTATTAAGCGATGATTATTATGTTTACCATAATTAAAAACTGGCTGCATAACACTATCAGTTTATTGACATTGCTTTGTGAAGTTCCTTTTCAGTGATATGGAAATGTGGAGCTTTCGGTACAAGATGGTAAGTTTTTTGTACTTTCATATAATTTTTCAATGTGAATGAAATATGTGTAGTTTACTGATTATTATTGTATAAATGTATTAACCTTTTTTTAATTCATATTAGTGGTCCGCCAAATATAAAATTATATATGTAGTGGTCCGTGAAGTTCTAAGGGTTGACCGCTGCTTTAGATAACAAGTATTAAATTTCTTGCGATGTGGACGGTAGCATCCTACTATTGGAATCACACAAAACATGTGCCGATATGCCACCAACAACACCATATATCTAACTGATATAACAGTAGCAAACTGACCATTATCATTTTAAAAGAAAGTATGCCTAATCACTCCAAATGCATTAACAATACACCATACAATAACGTTTTTCTTATACTGTGAGACTTCTGATGCAATATGCATGGGTACTCTGATGCCAAGTATTTGAAGTTCTGCTTGTTGACATACCCGTTTACATCAAAATTAGCTTCACTGGATATCATCAATCAGCAAATTGGGCATTGTTGTTCGGTCCAATTCTGATATTGTCTGGCTAAAGTCAGTCATTCCTTTTTCATACTTTAAGTAAGTCGAGGTTTCCTTGCAGGTTTATAGGAAAATAAACCATAATCTTTGGTCAAACGTCTTGAAACAATACTCGAACTGATGTTGGTACCCTTTGCAGCCACAGCAGCTCTAATTTTATCGCAGGAGGTTGTTGGACATCAAGTCATCCTTCTTATCATACGATCATCACATGCACAAGTTTTTCTTGGGTGATCGCTTCTCTTAAGATCCGTATAATTTCTCGAAATTTTGAATTTACTGATAGATCGATGCACGTCTGTCTTGTTAACATTTACCTTCAAACTTATTTCACGTTCAGAAAAGCCAACGTCATGCAGGGCCACTATTTTTGCCCATTTTTCAAGCAGTGAAGGTTTTTTTTTAACCCATTACATTGCGTACACAGTACAACAGCACTGTGTAAGCAAAATCCAATAACGAACTACTGATAAATGAGACCACGTTATATTTATAGCAGTAGAAATCGTTTGATGCAACCACGAGCGAAAATGGTGTAATCCTTTAAAATACAGGAAAACGGCTACTGGTCTTAAACTTTTGCATGTGACTGTAAAATAAAAGTAATAGTGTTCGATATATGGTTATCCTTCGCGTGTATAAATCGCGCAGTAATTTTCGATACTCATTTTTTGGGGGAAAAGTGTGTAATGTGGGAATAGAGTACTTAATTTTTACCTCATAGTTTTTTATTGTCCATTTAAGTATCTGTTGTAGAACATTTCAGTATACTCATATATATGAAATTGTTACAGTGCATGCATGCACATTTTTTTAATTGGGAAATACTTTTAAAACCATAACATCGTGTTACACAGTAGGCCATTTTGTTTTCGGGCCAGTACCAGAATGTTGAAATTTTGATATATTAAATTATAAATCAAATTATTCCTTATTTATGAGATTTCTCTTCGACATATACAAATCATATAAAATGTATTGCTATTTAATGTTTCAAATATTGCAGCCCTTCTAATGCTACTGATAAAATTTTGTTTAAAAATTACTGAAATATGACTGGCTGTATATGAATAGAAATTTATTTCTTCTTTTACATATTGCAGATGTCTCATATTATAAACGACTGTACAAAAACTGTGATGCAAACGCTGGAAAAGCATGCTGTAAACAAAGAACCAGTTGACTGCAAGAAGTACGTTGTTTTTGTAATATGTTGTTATTTTAATAGGCTTCATTCATATTTCCAAATCAAACGCCATGTTCTATGTTTCGCTGTCATTAATAAGTTCGTGAGCCAGCCAGTTGCCGAGCTTCCTTACTTTGCTTATTGTCAGGGGCCTTGAAAGAGGTCAAAGTATACATTTAATTTTAGAACCCTCTTTCATAGAATTTGTCGTAGATCATATTCAATTAAATCATTTAATTTATTGGAGCAAATGGACGAAGGAGAATGCCCATGGATTTAAATTTGTAGCCTGCAGTTTCTTGAGCATAAGTTCGCAATTCAATAGTGAGTAAATATCTCGGTATTTGTTTCACCACAAAATGCTTTATAGATGATTTTACTTCAGGCGCTAGAGTATTTCCCGATTTGAACCCATAAAGTTATAGAATCCCTAACTAATTGGCTTTCATGATTGTCTTGATGTTGGTAATATTCAATGTTTGAATGAAATTTTGCGCTTCAATGTTGCTCTCGTTGAAAGAAACGAATACTATAATTGCAGCAGGCACATGTGATACTATCACATGACATAAAAAATGTCATAAACCTCAGTACTTGCTGTCTCTTGAAACCAGTAGAAATTCGACGTCATTCAACGGCCATTTTAAGTTCAACAACTCAATACTATTAAAATATTACTAAAATATGTGGCTTTGATATTGATATAATCGCAGGAACGTTTCTCTATTTATGGTTCTTTAAAAATCACGAAAGCATCCCTCGAAAACTGAAGGGAAAATATTAAATGATAAAAACGCCAAGCCGCAGTTATCTCATCATAATAACATTTTGCATACAAATAGCTTTAAATTCAACATATAAATGATTACATTTTGGCGGACATGAATAACGGAGTTACAGAGCAATGCGAAAGAGCATTCAGATCGGTATAAAAGAGAAACAATTTTAATTCTGTGGCATATCTTCCAGTCGCCAGTTTCATCAACTTATTTTGACTTTATGATGCCTAGCAAACGAGTTTTCGCACAAAATGAGTTTTAAATTCCCATCTGAGAGATTATGTACCTTGAAATAGCCTAAAAGGTACAGGGTGATCAAATCAAAGAATCGCATGACGTTTGGATAAAAAATTTGTCGCCATTCGTCGCTGCTGGCAGGATGGACTGAACCACGCAGAGCACAGCGCCAAGAATTCAGCGGTCGATCTAGGAACACATAAGGACAGAGCAGTCGTTGAAGACTTTCGCAGCACCTGATCCATCATTATCAACTATCCGGCATGTAACAGAGACACCAGTAGCTGCAAGGGCCTTAACAGGCGATCTTTAGAGCTGAGTCTCCACTCCCGACGCCCATTGTGCCAATTACCGTTCACCTAATGCATATCAACAAGCGTGTCTGTCGTAATGCCGGGCTCATTCCATCTGAATTTTCACTGATTGTCTTACGAATTCTTCTTTGAATCGAGTCTCGAGGACCAGAAAAACATGTCTAGAGACGTGCAATACGGCACTGGCATACTGATCTGACTTTCGCCTGTCACCTGTCTCAATTAATAAAAGGACATCATGGTATGAGATTGTCATTTCATTTGATCGTTCGGACCTCTTTGATTGTCATCCGTGACATTCTTATACGGCACCTCTGCTAACCTTGTGTCAAAGACACCGATAGGGTCACATTTCAGCAAAATAATGCTTAGTTGCATACAGCAGTTACTTCTACTGATTGTCTGCATGCTTGTCAAACACTTCCGTCATAACCTAGATCGCCTGACCTCTCTCCAGTAGAATACGTTTCACGTCTGATGAGCAGGCGCCTTGAAACATCCCATAATGTCGCCGATCTAGCTCGACAATTTGAGAGGTCGGATATTCGTGATGTGAAAATATCATTCCTACGGCCCTGCGAGCTGCCTTGTGATTAAGACCGGTAAATACTGGGAGTTCGATTCCAGGCGAACGGGCTGGTTGTATGATTGGTTTTCGTCATATTCCTCATTCGTAACGTGCAGAGGAGCCAATCTCTCATAAAAAGCGCTCCATGAAGGTATCTTTCTGCTCAGGCAGATAGCCCTCATAAACTTTGCTATATTCAAATAGCCTCGTGTACTTTAATCCTTGTCCAACGAGAAGTAGTGTGTTGAGATAATAAAAGCAACATTATTCTAGATTTTATATCTAGATAATGATGTGAAAATCACAAATGTAGTTCAAAACTTATCTTTTTTTTTTTTTTTTTTTTTTTGTTAGAAATTTGTAGAAATTAAATGAATTTTCAACCGTTCTTTGTTAAATTTGACAGATAACTGTAGATGCGGTATGTATGAATTGGCGCGACCATTTTATCGTATTATAGCGATTTTTTGAGAAAAAGAAAAGATTGATGACTTGCATTGCAAAAAATTATTTATTGCATTCCTATACATTATGACGTACTTACGTTTTGATTAATTGTTTATTTAGCAAATCAATAAATGAACTTGTTTACAAACTTTTTTTTACTTCAGTGGAAATTTTATGACGATTGCTTCAGGAGTAAATTCAAAGCAAATGTTGCTTTTAGCGAATCTGGGGATAACTACAATATTTCCTCAGAAATTTTACCGCACTTTACATAGTTTGAAACTGAGGTAAAAAATACCACGATTAGTTTATAAAATCTGTTGAAACTTGGAATGAAAATAGCAACTTTGCTTTTAAAAAGAAAAAAATTATATGCCATGATTTCCTGAAAAATTTGTATGCGCTTGCTTTCCAGAATTTGGCGCATTTTGAATACATGGCGACATTTACTAAAATGATTGTGTTAATATATAAGTACCACAGGTTTTTTGAATGAAGTAACCCACATAGCACAAAAACATCCTTGGGATATCCCGAGGATGTTGCTCGCGGGATATGCGCACATCCTCAGGACATCCCGGAATATCCCGCGAACCTCCTAAACACCTCCTCCCGAGTGCTTAATGTCACATCCCGGGATATCCTCAGGACATCCTAACTAAGTCCCTTCGACAGCGTGCGGGATGTTATTAGGATATGAACTCCTACTTACTACATCCTCGGGACATCCCGGGATATCCCACTAACCTCCTAAACACATTCCATTATATCCTAAAAACATCCTATCTATGTCCCATCGACAGGCGTATGGGATGTTATTAGGATTTTTAAAGTCTTACTTACTACATCCTCAGGACATCCCGTAATATCCCAGTTTCCTCCTAAACTCATCCTCCCGAGTGCTTAATGTCACATCTCAGTATATCCTTAGGACATCCTATCTAAGTCCCACCGACAGCATATGGGATGTTATCAGGATTTGAAATACTGGTTAAAATATCCCTTTAACCTCTTAAATACATACTCTCAACTGCTTAATGTTACATCCCAGTATATCCCCAGAAATCTTCTTTATATTCCAGTGAAAGTGTGTGAAGGTGTTGTGATAATAACCTGAAACTTGCTTATTTTCCACAGGCAGTCTCAGGTCTTCCATCTGTGGTTACTATGGAAAAATAAGAAATGTTAGAATATTTATACAATTTATTTTTCTAATTTGAATTTGAATTTATTTAATAAATTGTAAATATATCTAAAACTGAGCAAGAGACTTGAAGTGAATTATTAATACAAAATATTATAAGAGAAAATTTTGCTTTAAAATATTAAAAAATCTTTCGATCATTTTTAACCATTCAATAGCCCAAAACTGAATTCTTCGATATATTCATAATTAAATTATTCTACAAATTCGGTTCTGACTTCAGTTAATTTGTATTCAAAATTCAATAATAAAATTAAGCATTTAATAACCTTTAAGTAGTGGACCAGATGTGTGTAGATTTTGAAATTCTGAACTTAAGTCGGTTACGTTGATTGAATCATTATTCATGGCTACAATATGATTAAACAATTCATGAGTTCATCTTGCTATTTGCTGTAATGGAGCGTAAGATTTTCTAATCAATTTTTTTATTTTTTTATAGAAGATATATAGCTTTCAAATTTAAATGCACTGTAATTATCTCACAGCCCAAACATTTTTACATCTTCGCAAATATGCAATAGGCCGTGAACATTATGAGAAATATACTGTTTTTCATAATAAAGCCCAAAATTTACTACGAAGAGTTTTAATAGAGACTGTGCGTATTCATCAATTGCTGTCTGATTCTGTATTTTGCATAAGAGTCTAATCGAAATATGAAGTAGTAAAAAATGATCATATAGCTTTTTGTTAAATTAAAAAAAATAAATAAAAAAAAATAAGTGGACTAGTGTACAGTAAAAATTGACGGTATTCTGTAGCTTTCCAGTGTTTCAATTCTTTTAGAGTTGGTTCCTTGGTTTTCTTGCAAATTCAATTGGTACGTAAGGCTTTAAAAACTGGTCATTTAAAAAAAAAAATTAGTTCAACATTTTTATGTGGTAATCATGCTTGTAAGGTGCCTCCGCCTATCCTAATAGTAATCATTTTTTGTACTACTCCTAAGCACACAAGGGGCATAAAGTCTAACGGAATATTTAATAGTCCTATATTTGGAGTATTCCTTAAAATGGGATAATCGTTTTGGTAATCGTCATCAGTCAGTTCTTCTTGAGACATAAAAGTTCATATTTCGAGTCACAGTTTGAAATGGAATTTAAAGAATATTTGCTAACGCGAAAATTCGATACAGGCTTTTTTCATAATTAAATGCTACTTCATCTTCTGACGAATCCAATAATATACGTTGATTTATTCTGCTGTAAATCCGTCTTTTAGATATCTGAGATAATGTTTTTTAGTTCTGATCATTTTTGTAGAATAAAGGAAAAAATTTTGAAACTTACTTTTCACACTCTCTCAATGTAACGCTTGCAAGCGTCAGCAAGTCAGTTCGTAACTGAAACAGAATTTGGAACGACGGCTATTAACGTTTAGCAGAATAGCTGAATTCTGGAAATCAGAAAGTAAGTAAGTGTACTTTCCACTTTGTGGGGTTCTTCAAGGATATCACTAGTATTACGGAGCAATTAAAACCGTTGGAGGCATTCTGCGTCCTTTGTCGTGAAGGGATGCTTTCCTTGTAAGGGGATACAAAGAAGAGAAGGTCTGACACATAAATCTGCCACGTTAAGAAAAGAGAAATCTTCTTGGGGCATCGGCTGCAGAAAAAGTTCTCAGAGGTGTTACATTCTGAGCGGAGCTCGGTTTCTCAAAAAGCAAAGAAAATTTGAGAAGCAGTTTAACGTACAATGCTAATGATGGAAACAAAGATTTAAGATTTTCAACTTCTATTGTTATTTATAGTATAAAATAAAGTAATAAATGCTGAGTTTAAAGAACGCGTTTAATTTAAAAATTAAATCATTTTAATATTTGAATATCTATTTAATCCGTTATCTAATTTTGAGTTTTCATGACAACATTTAACTTTGTGTTATATACCTTGAAGAAACGTGTTTACTGCATTTTCTGGATGTTACAAATAAATTAATAAAGCAGTAATTATTGTTAAATTATGAGTAGTCATGTAACATTGCCGGCATAACGTATACGACTCCAGAGCGCTGGATATATTTTTTTCGCACTTTGTTTAGCAAAGACCGAATATTTGTATGGTTAAAGAGGTAGCAAAGTGAGGTTTGAGGAGAGTAAGAACATAATGTTAATTTTTCCCATTCTTAAACCTCATTTTCCTATTACAGAGAGGTAAAAAATAAGTTACTTCTTACCTCAGTCGCTTTGGAAGACTAATTCTCATTATTAAAGAACTTACCAGAAAATGAACGAAGAAACTGCAATGAATTTTTTAGCCCAGTAAAATTATTATTCTGTTTATAAATTCAAATTAAAGCAAGTTAAACCTCGTACAGACTAGTTTTTAACTGCGTCTGTAAACTAAAATTTCGTTTCTTAAAAAAAAATAAATTATTTTTACTTATTACTGCACAGCACTAAACATCATTCATTACTAGTATAATAGTGTAACAGATCAAAAAGTATTTTTTTCCTTTGCAGTTTCAAAGTATAGTTATTTCTATGCTAAGAACTATCGATGAATTTAATAGAATACTTTTATAACTTGATATTTCTGATTAGTGCCTCAGAGACGAGTAAGTGATTAGTGACTGATTGCCGTACAGAAGAGCTCAAGTTCGAATGCCAGATAAGGCATGGATGTACATCATGCCCATCTGTTCATAGGATAAATGTCTTCGTGAAGGATTTTCTGAGCTAACCTGTAACGTAAATAATATTTGTGTTCAAAGATATTAGAAAAGTATCTAAAATAATGTTTACAAAATATATTATGTAGAATATATTTTGTATGTAGAATATATTAGAATTTAATCGTAAACACACTTTCAATATGAAACTTAAAACGGATGAAAACACGTGCCTATAATTTGTAAGAAAGTACTCTGATCAATAGGCACTGTGAAACAACAACAAAAATTTGAAAATATTATTACTTAATACTTACAGCCAACATATACAAGACGAAAACCAGTGTAAGCATAACAATTAAATTTTCATATGCAGAATAGGTAATCCATAGAGTAAGATTTCGATTCGTATATCATGACTTGCGTGTGGTACAAGGTTACTTTACCTTAATATTTTCAGATATGAGCTTCCATAAAAAGTAAGTACTGAAGATATCTGAGAAACACTATCCTCAGGAGATCTTCATATATCCCGGGACATTACGACTTGAACAGGACATTCTTAAGATGTTGATTTACGAAGTCCTCAGGATATCTGAAAATCAACATCCTGAGGAGAACTTAATATATCCCGGGACATTGAGACTTGAATAGGATATCCTCAGGATGTTGACTTAAGAAGTCCTCAGGATATCTGAGAATCAACATCCTCAGGATATCCTAACTGCTTCCCGGGACATTGCGACTTAAATAGGATATCCTGAGGATGTCTTGTGTTATGGGGAATAGAAAATGTTAGAAAAGAAATTTCGGATTTTAAACTTAGAAAATAGAGACCATTTGAAAATTACTAATATTCATTATTAACAAGAAAAATCATTGTAAGTTTTCATAAGTGTTGAATGCAAAAATGGAAAGAAAAATATATTAAATTTTGAATCTTTCTTTCGATCTTTCCTGAACCTGTGCTCTGCACTTAAATACGTCAATTAAACTGAAAAGTTGGTTATTTGATAATGGCAGGACATATTAGGGCTACCTGCTTAAGGGATAATAATGCATATTACATATTATTAAATTGCAATTAATTACATATTATATGACATCTTGTAACAATCAGCATAACTTCATCTGAAGTAACTGGCATTCTTTCGATCGGCGATCTCTATCACTTTGATCGACGATCTTTTGAACTCCCAGGACCAAGGCTGAGGCCATCTCCACACTAAAGACACAAAAATAATAACAAACTATGGCTTGATACATGATGAATACAGAATATATGGTAAAACGTTACAAGATTTTACATTTTTTCGCCTTTATTCGAAAATCAGATCGAAAAACAATAGACATAGATACGATGAAAATCTTTTCCGTGTTTGAAACATAGAATTTAGTTGACAGAACATAGGCAAAAAACGTCTGCTAACCTTCACATCTGCCCGGATGCAAAAATGAAACAGCAATTTTAAGACTTCAGTATCTAATGTATCAAAACTGCGAAGACTTATTTACCTGAATAATTATATTTTCTGTAGTGCCGTAAAAGATTTAATACGTCAGATTCAAAAGGTAAAAGGCAATACTAAATGAAACGTTTATAACTCTATACATTTGTTTATGGATCATTTTTTCAAAACGTTCTGCTGTTTTTATATGATAAATACAAAAGATGCAGTCCAAGAACATTTCATTGAATCATATAAGCACTATATAGTTATATAACTTTTTGCCATTTCTTTGCCAGCTGGAGAGCTCCTTTTTTAAAAAGATTATTAGCTTTATTCATAAAGACATTATGAAGGTGCTGTTTGACAGTCTCCAAAGAATGGAATTCTAGGCTGTTCGAAGGATTTTGAAGTGACAAAAATCTGAGAGATAAAGTCTGGTGAAAATGAGGAGAGGCACAAATTATCCCAATTTTTTACAAAATAGGTCTTTGACATTTATCCAAATACGGGGCCGAGCCCTGTTACGATGGACGAGACCTGGACAGCTGATTAGTTCTAAGCGCCTAGCTTCGATCTCTGCTTTCAAAACTGCTATTTAAAAATAATATTTTTCTGAATTGCCTGATTTGCTGAAAAGATTTCATAATATGCGATTCCTTCGTAGTCCCATCCTACACGAAGCATTACCTTTTTAGGATGCACTCTTCTCTTTCGATGGTACTAAAGGAGCTTCTTTTGGCTTACCAATGACCTTGTAACATTATTGCATAGTATCCACTTCTCATGTCTTGCCACCTACATGGTATAGTGTTTAGGGGGTACCGACTGCGATACTGAAGGGCCCGGGTTCGAATCCCGGAGAAGGTATGCTTGTAACTGTCCGTCCTTTTCACAGGAGGTAAGGTTGGCCGCCTGTTAGGTGCCTCCACAATAAAATGGCTACCACTTCCGGCCACTTAGGAGTGGCCAATGTCAGGAAAAAAGAGACAAAAAAGTGCCCGCCATTCAAGGGGAAAGAGAACATTTCTTATCTCCAATAATGAGACACTTGGAAAAAAAGGGGGTCATCTTTATTTGTTTTCAACAAAGAATCAAATGCGGAAACTAGAGCAAGCGTATTCAGTCTGTTAAAATAAGGGGTGCCGATACATCGCAGAGGTTTATATCTCCATTTTTCATTAATTGATCACGGACTGTATTACTTGAATGTTTAGTAATAAATAATGTTAAATAATGTTAGTTAAAAAGATTACAACAGCATTTCAGTTGAATCTGTTAGCACTCCATATTTTTCACACCTTATGGGGGAAATATGTGATTCCGTGTTTATATATATTTTTCCTGAAGATTGACATTCAGTTGAAAAAATTGCTTCTTAAAAATTACTTAGTAGAATTTTCGATCCTAAGTATTACCTCAGCCTGTCCAGCCGAGCATCTGTTGACACTCGTGCTGTCGCTTTCACGTCAGTAGTAACACTTTACTTTGTAACAGTAAAGTATTGAACACTTTGGACAAACTAATCTGTAAAGAATCAGTCTGTGTAGCAATTAATTGCATGTGAAGGGAAATTGTAAACTATTGTTACCTTTCTCTTGTATTTATTCGCAGGTTATTTGGAGCTTTCACTATGGATGTGATCGCTAGTGCTGCGTTTGCTACGAAGATAGATTCCCACAATGATCCTAATAACTGCTTCGTAAAGAACGCAAGAAAAGTTTTTAAAGAATTCTCTGCCATAAGATTTTTGCTCTTCTGTAAGTACTTATGAGATTGCAATGAACAGATGTGTAATTCAAATATATTTACTGTTACATTATAAATGATATAATATTTTATACGGGTTTAAATTTAATAACCTAGTTCTTAATTTAGCGATAGCATTATATTTATTAACTTCTACTCTTCCTTTTCTGCACAGTTTGTCCAGAAGTATGTAAATTTAACGAGAATTTTATATCACGCAGTGGTCATGGAGCTACTAAAGACAGAATATCTTAACAGCTTTAGGTTTTTCAGTTGAATAAAAAAAGTTGTCTAAACCCCTACACTTACCTGGCCCACCAGTGATCGAGAGGTTAAGATCGCTAATACTGACAACAAGCCAGTATTCCTTAAAATGTCCTCCACGAAGTCATCCCTTCCCATAGGCTGATAGCAGTACTAGAATGCCAGAAATTTATAAAATGTCTCAGACCTAGTACGGAAGTACTAATAGTGAACACTGTGCTTCCGAAATACATAAATTATTAAATTTCATTATTTTACTAAAAAATTAAAGATTTCAGATTTTTTACAGATATACAGAGATTCTAGATTTTTTACAGATTTGATACAGAAAATGAAATATGTTTCTTCTTTATTTGTTAAATTTAGTGATATTACCAATCTGGCTAGTAAATATCTTGGGACTTCGATCAACTTTCTTCCGAACCGTAAGCTTGCAAGTGATTAAAGAAAGAAGGCAAAAAGGTCATGTAAGTAGAATTTCGAAACAATATTTTAAAATTATTGCTGGCAGTCGTTTCCCAAAAGCAAAAAATTTTATCTTAACGCTTCAAATAGCACATAAAGGTTTAGAGTGAATTATTTTTAGAGTGAAATATTCTGCATTATAATAAACATTTTATATAAATTTACTTTAAATGTCCCATCTCATAGCTCTTTTCCTTTACTCCCAATCTACACTGTAATTGCAAATTCCAAGGATAAAAGAGAACTTTTTTGCACTCCCCAGTATACGTTTTTCTCTCTCGTCTCATATAGTCTGTCCAGTGTTTTAGAGCGCCCCACCGTCTGCTGTTGTAACCATTTGGATTTTTAACAGAGCAAGACCCGTGAAAAATAAGCAAGGCACTCCGGACCTTCCGACGCTAGCCGGACGTGCTTCCAGTTACACCACGAAGGCACGCGATGGTAAGAAAGAAAAGAATTCATTATATAATGAGCAAGTAGTTAAAACCGCTTGAATATAATAAAAAGTTTGACCCGGCTTCCATCCCAGCTGAATGGGCTGACTACATGGTTGGTTTTCATGGCTTTTCCTAAGTGTAACGTGAATATGAGCCAACTCCATTGAAAGAGCTTTCATGAAAGCAGCCCTAGTATTTAGGTGCAAAGTTAAATGTAGGTGAGTTTAAATGACTACTTCTGTCGGCTTAGTTTTGAGATTTTAATTTTTAACCATTAAAATCATGACCTTCTTCAGAGTTTTCAGTAATTTTCACTTGGAAGACACGCCGCCTGACTTCCTGGACCCAGAATTTAGTTCTCCTTAGGGAGATAGCCCTCGCATGCTTTGCCATCATCAAATAAACCAAACTAAACCGAACCCTTTGATGGTTTTATAAAAAGGCGCAGTATAACTATAAACTGCACCATACATTTCCGAATATTTACTGGCCGTCTTTCATGAAAGACTTGCTCACCGAACAGTATTTAAAGTTTGAGATATTTATAGTCGTTACTAACTATATTCAGAGTTTTACAAAAATAACCAAAAACTATCAGCAGCTCTTTTTATATAACTTATTATCGTTTTATTAATTTCGTACTCTGGAAAACCAATGTAGTGGTTTTCCCATGTTTTATCAATCGCCTAGCATTACGTACATTTAGACTTCGAATAGACCATGGTAAAGAATTATTTTCATAGATCTCTGTTGTTGTCGTTATTGTGTTGCGACTAATCTAAGCTTGTCTGATATCAGAGCAAGCCCACGAAATTCCTCGTGATAAAATACTTGGTTTCCTATTTTTGATTAATTGTTTCATATAACTTACAGCGAAGTTTTGCATTTTGTATTAATAAAAAATATTTTATTTAATTTCCCTTGCATTTTGAAAAGATAAACGAGTTCAAGGACTGTAGAACCACATTTGTGATTGCATTCAGGTTCATTAACAGCTGGTCGATAGAATAAACATCTGCGGAATGGGGAAAAGAACAGCTGGATATGGCCAACAAAGCAGTAACGTAGTGTACTCATAGGCACGCGATGGTATTTTCACTCATAGGTACGCGATGGTATTCTGAATAGAGTTTCCGGTAAAGTTTGAGGGGTCAACAAAATAGTAAAAAACGACAAAAGCCTTTTTTACGAAGTGCAAAAAAGAAGTGGGTAAAATACTTTCGCGATTTCTTTACTTAGTGGATTGTAAAAAGGGAGACACTGACGAATTTTTTATTGTAAGAGTTGCAAATAGAAGTGCTGCTCAGAATTCCGCAGGAACGATTCTTGCAACTTTGGAGGATTCCGCCTACTTTCCCCAGTCGACAGGATCATACATAAATACCGAGATGTTTAATTGTGAAAATTCTCAGATTGTGTGTAATTTCTTTTAATGATATTTCTCTTTCAGGAAAAATTTGAAAACACTCAGTTAAGTTAATGAAAAACCCTCTCGAAATTTCCTTTTCTTTTCTCTGAGGCATTTCTGCATCTCTATATTATTTTAAGAGGAAATTTTTCTTTATTAATTAGAGCTGTAGATTCACTGACATGTGCGACTATTTTAAATCTTGCAGCATGTCTGTATCTCAAATGACCTGAAATAAAAACTGGATATATATTTGTTTTTATGCACATAGAGACATAATGATTTCCTGCAACTTTTGTTGGACGCTGCGGACGAAGAGATTCAAGAACCTGATAAATCAGTAAATGGAGGTTTCAAACCGATCGATGCGAATGAGGACGAAACAGATCAATTTGGAAGTGTGACGAACAAGGAAATATCCATACCGATGAAATATACAAGTAAAGTATTTTATTAAAATACCTCTTCTAAACCTTTCTAAGATTTAAAACAACTATATAAATATCTATTGTTAACTATCATTAAAATCTGAAAATGGTATCAATTTATATTTTATGCATTAAAGTATGATTCACATGCTAATGGTTATACAGGGGATCTACGGAAACATAGCTTGCCTCCAACGATACTATTATTAGACACTATCTTTTTTTTTTTTCCCTATATGCACAGAAATTGAACAGGAAGGCAAACTTAAATTGGAATATCACATTGCTTTAGTTGGCGACACGGACACCAAGTCACCGGGTGATCCGCACACTGAGAGCAAAAGTCTATGGCCTCCTTCAAAGATTGTGCCACTGGTAGTATAAGTGAGCTACTTTTCATGGGCTAATTTGCATATCTATTTATAATTTGTAAAATTAATTGCAGATGTCATTTAATATGAGCAGTGAGGTTTGCCAAAAATTTATGTCCAGTGATTTCAATTCCGCTTTCCTTTCTGATGCTGTAATTTCAATAATATTTTATGCAATAACATCACACCAATTAATGTAATTTTATTTCGATGTAATATTCTTCGTAGTATATTAGTTATAATCCCGTACTATTAATTTAACTTGAAATGAAAGTTATCTTAACATGTTGGCGAGTCATCGTCAACTATCAGTACAAAATACAAGTCAAATTAAAATTTATGTAAAACTTATTAAGTCACTTTTAATGGTTTACAACTAAAATTACAGAACAAATTTATACAATGATGTGTTGTATGAAACATATGGCCTTTTCGCTGAAGTTCAAATTTTAACAAAACAAATTTTTAATAGAAGCTAAACACCTAATCGATTTTAACAAAACAAATATCCAGTACAAAATTAAACTCCTAATGTATCGACATCCAAACCTTTAAATCACTTACTGCCATAATGCCATAATATTTTAACTCGTTCTTGTTCTTACTGCCAGGGCTTAATTTCTAAAATTAGAAGCCGTATGGAAGTCCATCGAGAAAGAAGAACAAAAATAAATAAATAAAAGTGATCAATAAACTAATTAATAATTAAATTTGAACTCGAAAATGTAAATAGATAAATAAAATTAATAAATTATTCTATGAATGATAAATAGTTAATAATAGTTAAATAATAAAATAAGATGCCAGACCACTTTTTATTTGGGGCTCCGGCTTGGAATTACAATCCTAAAATATTATTTCAAGAAGTAACAGAAACAAAGAATATTCCTTTTTTTTAGCACACCAATCAAAAATGGTAAAACGGTTAAGACATCACTAGTGACAATAGAGAGAATGCTAGGAAGAGTGTGGAAGGAAGCTTTAAAAGTCTGTAAGTATAAAAACAAAAAATAATCCACCATTTCACCATCCACCACCACGTGGAGAAAAATAGTTGTTGTGTGAACGCTATATTCGATGTTCTTTTGTAACATACGAAAGTTATTTGTTTACTACTATTGTACTAGTCGAAAATCAGTGATTTAAGTAACAGTCATTTCTTACCGTGTATAAACGTTATTTGCAACTTTTTGGGAATTCAAAGACTGAGAATGGGAACAATCGCATAGCATCCTCAAAACCAGAAATCCTTATTTAAAAAGAATTATAGTTGAAAATTTATGAAAACGAATATTTTGTTGAAAAGAACATGGAATCTATGTGGACTTTTTTAAAATTTCTGAAATGTTGTTGCGTTGACATTTCTGATTTTACATCTGTATTCTAACGGTATGCAGCAAAATCTATGCTAATTAGTAACTTCTTATAGTAAATCATGTGGCTGACGAGTTGCTGAGAGGTGAGATTGCTGAACACTGGTAGTTCGATGCAATTTCAAATTCCGGCAAATGGTCTGGCTGTATGGGAGTTTTCGTAGTTTTTCCCCCATTTGTAACATGAAAATGAGCTAGTTTCCGCTAAAACGTCTTCCACAAAGTCATTACCCCCTCTTAGGCTGACTGCTAACTATACGTATGATATCTTCTACCTTGAGAAAGTTATGCAAAATATTTCTTTTCACGCTAACTAACTGAAGCTAACTTAATATCTTTATTTCTTTTGGAAAGAATCTTTGAGTTTGAATTTTTTGGATTTGTTTTTGAACTGTCGGGCATGGGTATGACCTCTTAATATTAACGAATATTTATTGTGTTGGAGAAATTATAGAGTAAAATACTAATAAGTGGTGATACAAGATGTATTACTCCCAAGGTTTTTTAAGAAAAGAAAATCTTAAGGTTTAGTCCTCTTAATTTTATTTCTCTTACCGTCTTTACAGCAAGTTATCCACATCATGAAATTTAACTTTAGACGAAAGCCCAATTATGGACGAATATTTAGACGAAAGGTTTTTAGAAAAAGAACCGCTAAAATAACTGAACTATTTTGGTAACTGAATCTTGCTATTTGCTCAAAACGAAAAGATAAAAATACAAATTTCACAAACTGCAAGATGAACAATAAAAAAAGTAATCAACTTGCAAACTTAAATCTATCATGTACCACATAGGCCTGAAATTGCCAGCTTTATTTCACCAGACATTAGAATCATCTCAGTCAGACTAATAACACTCTACACAGAAAATGCCACACCATGAAAGAATCACTGGAGGCAGCTTAAGTTTTGTGCATAAGTTTCTAATGAAGTCTTTAACAGATAATTTATTTTTTCAGAGATGTTCAACGATGAGATAGCGATCATAAATGGGATAAGAGACGCAGAGCATCAAGACTTTTCAGCGCTATTTCGGTCAATACATTCTCGAACACTTTGTTACATCGAAACAATGAATGTTCGAATCGTATCATGCGGATCATGCACACGATTTCTTGTTATCACCCCATAGTTCACTTTCATGGATGAGGGACTGTATTAAACTAACGTCCAATCATATCCCACAAATACTAGATGGATGAGAGATCAAAGAATCGGATTGCCAAAGAAACACTTGAAGATCTTACTATTCAAGATGAGTCGAGTAGTGTGTAGCCAGGTGGTGGAGCACACCATCTAAGTAGTGGTATCACATGTACAGGAGACCACCACACAGGACTTCATTCATTTTTGAGATGAATGACTGTTATCACTAATGATACTCAAAACTGTTATTCCACATTGACGGGCCATCTGTTGTTCGGTAATAATAAAGGCATCCACTGGTGGCCACGTCGCTTCTACTCCTCATATTCCGATTACCATTTGTAATACAGAATAAGCTAGCTACAGGCTACAGTAATTCATTTGACATTCCACACTACTCTGCTACAATATTACTGCAAACGTTCACGGCGCAATCACTAGCTGTTAATGAAAGCCTTCATAAAAAGCTTTGACTGGATACTAAAGCTTCGGCTAGTTCAGTCAAGGCGTTCCATATATTTCTCAAAATGTCTTCAGTTGTAGACCTCGGGTCAGATTTGGTGCGACTCTATGCGTTGATTAGTGCACTCTGATGTCTCTCTGCTTGCTGCCGCACCTCCAACAGGGCTGCACGTAATCCAGTGTCAATAAACATGCTGCACGTAATCCGTGCATGTTCTGTCACTAACCTGCAGTGCGGCGCAACAGTAGTTCAACAGTTCCTCTGCAGTACGGCGCAAGAACCAAGCAGTGGTACGGAGTTCTTTTTTGAAGACGTTTTAAAAGCATTAATAACCTTGTCTTTTTTTTTTTTTTTTTTTTTCACGAGGTTAAAAAGAAGCAACAGGAAAATTCGCATATTGTAGCAATGACGATGGTGAATTAATGGCTTCGTACATTATTTGGTCGCTTCTCTTCCATATGCTTATCTTCTGTATGACTTCTTGAGAATTCAGTTATTTGCATAATCTTGTACGTGTGCAGCAGATATTTGTATTGAATGTCTTTGTTTCTTTCTAGTGTTTCTTATTTGCTTTTGTTTCTTTCTAGTGTGGCACGGTTTTCTGTTGATGTTGATTTAAGTTCCGAAAGTAATTTAATTGTACTAGGTATTGATATAATATAATTAAGATTCTCCGGGAATTCCTGAAATAAACATTTAAATAGGGTAATATTTTTGAGACGAGAGAGTGTAATACTTTTTTAATGAATTCTGTTTTAAAGAACTATTCCATAATTGGGCTGTTTAAAGCATTCGTTCATTTTCAAGCATTTTTAATTAAAATATGCTATAGTGAACTTATACACAATGGCCAATGGCACAAGACCAATTTTTCATGTAAATGATATCATGATGTGGATATCTTAAAGAATGAACCTACATACAATGGCCAATGGCACAGGACCAATTTTTCATGTAAATGATATCATGATATCATGATGTGGATATCTTAAAGAACAAAATGTTACCTTAGCAGAAGAGGACGTGCCATTGTAATGGCGCTATCAACGAAATAATTATTCTAAACATCCAACAAAGCTGATGGTTCGAATGAAACAGGGTTGGTATCCTGCTGTAACCTTCTTAGTCACCGGACTTAAATCCATTTGAGAAAGACCGTCACCTATGAAATTTATGGAACTTTAAAGAATTCTGCAATATGCGATATTCCGTTGTTGTTGCAAAATATTAAATATTAAACGACAACATGGCAAAATAAAATACTATTTTCCCTTAAAACAAAAATTTTGCAACTAAATATTAATAAAGAATTTAAAAGTTTTGAGATATATAAAATAAATGAAGATATCTGTCCTTAATAAACAGATGCTTCTATTTTTATTTAAGCTACGAAAACGCCCATGTAGTAATCTATTTATCAAACTTCGAAACGGTGTCAAATTACAGTCACAGCAATCTTATACCTCTCTCGGTCACTGGTGGTCCGAAACATGTAGTATCGAATGAAGAGAATGAGAAAATGAAAGAAATAAATAACGAAAGATAATCTGAATTTGATATAATTTGAATTTCAAATAAAGCCGTAAAAGATCATTTTCTAAAAAAAAGTTAATTTAACGTAATAGTTTTTTTCCCTCTATTTGTTTATGAAATTGCGAAACATTTCTTCATTTATAATGCAACCTGAAGTATCTGAAGATACCATGTTTCAGAATTATCACAAGACGAGGTCATAGCACAGTGTGTGTTGTTTTTCTTTGTCGGCTACGAAACGACAGCATCGACGCTTACATTCATGGCCCACAGTCTTGCTTCAAACCCGGACTGTCAAGAAAAGCTCATTCGAGAAGTGGATGATGCCTTTGAGAAACATGTGAGTAAAGTTTCATAATTCGAAAAGTTAAAAAAAATTAGTTTCTTTCTCCAGAAATTAAGAGGAAATATGATTGTGATTAAATCTTTTAGAATTAAAGAATTCTAAACCATGTACAGCCATGAACCAATGTATCTATGCATATGATCATTTAATTACGCAGTTTTATCTTTTTACATACTTATAAGATTGAATCGTTAGACTAATTTGAGAAAATTCAACGAAGATCGGCCTATAAGTAGCAAATAACTTGTTATTTCAAACATAATGCATTATGTAATCATTTAAGCATTATTTGGTTTCGAAGAATATTACAGTAATTTGCATACATCTAGTTACTGGTTGGTATTTAAATAATATACAGTTTGTTCCATTAATTTGAACACACATTCATAAAATCATAAAATTCCCAAATTAAACTCTCAGAATGATAAATTTTTTCAGGGAGGGGGGGCCATAAAATGCATATAATTCAATTTTTTATTTAAAGAATGTTTCAATCAGTAGGTTTTACTGACTTAAAATTATTCTCTTTGGTTTTTCACCCAAATTATTATTATGTATTGATGCATTTAGAAAGACAAGATATTTTCCATTTCTCCAGGAGTAGCCCTAATTCATAATAGCTGGGAGAAAACTAGCTTAAAGGGAACAATGGCGGTAAATTCAAAATTCAAATTCTCACTACTCTTGCTCAAAAGGTGAGCTCGAAATGAGTCACGTTTAAGAAAATAACAATTCAGATACCAGTTACTCAGTTACCATGGAAGCCCACAAAAAGATATAGATGTCTATTAAATTTAGCAATATTTATAAGGTCATAAGAAACCCACGAAAAGCGTTCTAAGCCTCAAAAGCGTCGATACGAAAATACTAATAAGATCCGCCGATTGAAACTAGCATGGACTGCTGTCTTTGAAGAAGTGAACCAAGTATTATGCTGTGAACAGCACCTTACCCTAAGCAGGCAGCATAGCTCCGAAAACATACTTATATTTGGAGGTATATAAACTAGTCTGTGTTCTGTCTGAAACACTGAGATCCGGAATACGCGTATTTCCGGATCCATTCTGCCTACGAAGCTACAAGAACCCTCCTTTCCAAGAAGGACAGTTTTCATCGAAAGGCTTCATGGAAAATACACTGCTCAAAACAATTAAAGGATATTGAGGTTTTAGGTGGATCTTGTGGCTGCGAAACTTTTTAGCTGATTGACACATGGTCGACAGACGTAAGAGGTTATATGAGAATAAATTACACATGTTGGCAAAAAAAAAATGCATTTAGCGCATTTGTGTACAAAAGGAAAGAAACACCACAATTGTGCATATGAAAAAAAAGAATAAGAAAAGATTTTCTTCAAAGGAAATCATTTGCGTAGGGGGTGTGGTTTCCACGGACGGCCACAAAGTTGAACAACTTTGAGGCATGGAGTCAATGAGCTATTAATCTTCAAGTTGGAGTATTCTGTCCCATCTTCCAGAAGAGCTTTTCAGTTTTGGAGTTTGTAAGGCTGGTTGGCGGCCAGCAAGCCTTTCTAGAGCGTCCCAAACTGCTCTATGGTTCATGTCTGGAGAACACGGCTGGCCTTCCATGTACGACTCCTGCTCGAAAAGGAAATCCTACCAGGTTGCACGATTGTGGGCTGTATTATCGTCCATTAAAAGGAAGTCATCTCCGTTGCTGCATCATAAGGACCACAATAGGTCTGAGGATCACATCCCTATATCGCGACCAGTCAGAGGTCCATCTCGAATGATGTAGAGGTCTGTGCACCCGTCAGGAGATGCCACCATACACCAACACTTCCCACCGCCAAATCTTACACTTTCGTGCACGAACGCAGGGTTATTCCTACTGCCACGGTCCCTCCAGATGAAAATCGCCTATTATCAATGAACAGAAAACGGGATCGTCAGAAAAAAGAACTTGTCCATTCATTTCTCCTCCGTTCAAATCTGTTGCCCACTCCCTGCGGCGCGAACGTATCTGATGTAGTCTAACACATCCATCGGTCGGCGAGCATACAGACTACACCATGGAGCCGGTTTCGAAAAGTCTGAGTTGAAACGGGTGCCAGTACCGAGCGAAGGTGTTGGAGAAGAGTAGCATTCATATTTCGGTGTCTCCGAGCCGTTAACGATCTTCATTGGGCATTGTTGCTCGTCTACGACCTTGCCTCGTCTTCGGCCTGCATTTCCAGTTTCCAAAAAACGGTTCCAGATTTGAAATCACACTTTGTGACACTCAATGGCTTGCGCAATTCGGCTTGAGTTTGGGCCCCCTTCTAACCTACCAAACAACTATCCAAGCTTTGAATCGGTAAATGATTCGCTGAGAAATCGTACTAATCGAAACAAAGCAGTCACTGAATGCCAATCATCCTTGTTTCATTGTCTTTTATTCGTTGAAAGTCAAATTCATCGCTCCTCTGAAGCGACGTTTTGAGTCGAACTCAAAATTAACTACTCCACAGTTGAAAATCAAAAATTTGCATTGTGGCTCTTCTTCCATTTTCGGAAAAAAAAAAAAAAAAAAAAAATTCGCTTATATCTTTATTTTATATAAAACTTACAATATCCTTTTATTGTTTTGAGCAGTTTATTTGGGTTGTGACTTCGTTATATGACGTTAATGGCTTGAGAGAGAGAGTATCAACATCTCATTGTGATCTTGCTTCTTCAAATAGAATTAAAGGCAGGTATGAAAACAAAAGGTGATAAAATATATGACGAACCAGAATGATCTTTGAGGTTCATCGGGATTGCTGCAGATACGTTCATAACGATGATCCCGTTAAGAAATGCATAACATGAGCTACCCAGTCGAATTTCAGCGGTTTAGGCTGGGAGCCGCTGTCATATTCACCGTATAAATAGAGCACTTTCCCCTATATTAATATATATTTAGAACTTTACTAAAACATTCGTAAGAAACTTATGAAGTTAAAATTATATGGAACAGTATTTGAATATCAAGGAGAGCCTGCTACAGAACTGATATAAAAAAGATGAGAAAAAAAGTGATGGACTTTGGTAGTGTTAGCATCAGCTTAATTGGATTAACTATTCCTTAATTTATGATTTCTCATATCGATACCGCCGATACGAAAAATGTAATTAAGGAGTAATGCAAGTGCTTTATTTGCTTGCGAGTTCACAATTCGATTTATAAGTGCGATATTACTTTTGGAATGGTCTTATGTTTTTATTTATAAAACATATTAGAATTTTTTGTAGCGAATAATTAACTTTGTCTTGATTGGTAATTGAGATTTTCGCTTAATATACAGGCATGAAAGTGATAAAAAATGTTTCCTTGCTAAATTAATCAAAATATGGTAGCTCTAAAGTTTTAAGAAACATTTTGTTAAGACATTTTGCTGATACATGTTTATTGCATAAATAGTATTGATTTCTTTACAGGGTAAGATGGATCATGATATTACACGAGAAATGAAGTATTTGGACTCTGTTGTGTCTGAAACACTAAGAATGTATCCTATCTTAATAGTGTAAGTGACTTTTTATATAACATAATAAAACAATTTTTTGATCACTTTGAATTTAACTTCATATGTAGTACGTAAATACGGGATGGGTTAAAAATTAACGAAATACAATCCGACAAGTTCGGACTTTCGTAATGCTGTAAAATCGATTTTGTAAACGGAATTGAATCTATCCTAAGAATATGAGACTGAACGAAAAGCTAAGATACATCGTATCCACAAAAGTTCTTACTCGACCTTTTATTTTCTCAACGATGGTCATAGACAAATACTTCAACTTACAAAATTGTTTTAAATGACGCAAATATTCATATTTTTTTTTTAATTTAAAAAAAAAATTAATTTTATATGAAATACGAAATCTATTTTTTCAGACAACCCCATACTTGTATTTATGTTCTCATAGTAAGAGATTATGTGACGAGCATTTCTATGCAGACTTTTATCAAAAGTATTGATCAGTATAAAGATTCTTGAAGTTTATATTTGCAGAATATTATAAAACTTGTATTCTAGAAAAAGCCGACAAGCTTCATTATTGGCATGTGACCAAAGCGTAATATTATTTTCATTAATTAGAAATGAAAAATATTTGCACTTGAATATTTGCACAATGAATTTTTTTAAGTCCATGAAGATATCCCTTCGCTTAGGCGGATAGTCCTAAAAGTGTTTCAACGTAATATCAAATAATCCAATTCAATAATATTTTCTTAGTGTGCGTTTTAGCATAGCGGTTACAAACTGTCAGGACAGATAGAACACCTTAGAAGATGGAAAATCTCGTAGAAATGGTCACTACATGGTCGGAATATAGTCTACATTACATTAAGCTGATATTAGTTCCCACATATGGTCGGAAACGCTTAGCTGGCGCGGTAGTCGCGACACAAAACACAAGAAAGGAAGGACACGAACAGGCGGACAAAGTATGATTATTATTCTCAGTACAGCAGAAACGAAGAAATCAGAACAAAAACAGACAACGATCGTCATCAAGGTGTTCGAAATTATGACCCGGGACCATGATGTAGGCCTCACATCTCCGGCGCATGGAAGATCTGATGTTCTGGAAGTTACGGGCTGTGTCCTGTACTTCCCCAGCAGCTGCCACGATGCGTGCAACAAGTTCCTCGGCACTGTTAGCGGGACTTCGTACACCAATGTCTTGACGTACTCCCAGAGGAAGTAGTCAATGCAAGTGAGGTTCGGAGATCTTGCTAGTCCGGAGACTCGGACCACCTCTGCCGACCCAGTGTCGAGGATTGCATTCAGGTGAAGACACAGATTAAGGCTGTAATGTGAGGAGCCTGATTGTGCTGAAACCGTACGGCAGAACGCATCGCAACGGATACTTATGCGTTGTCCAATAGCTGCGACAATACTTGATGAAGCAAGATGAGATAGGTTGCACTTATCAGGCGTTGGGGCAACAAGTACGCCGCGACGAAATGGTCCCCAATGATGCCGGCTCATACATTTTAGCTGTACTAAGCATAATAAGTATGTTTTCTCACCCTGTGCGTGTCCTTCCCTTCTTATGTTTTGTGTCACTAGCGCTCCAGGAATGTGTTTCCGACCATGCAATTGCTGGGTGATTTTCCACCGTCTAAGTGTACTCTATTTCTCCTGAAAATTGGTAACCGTTGTGCTGAAAGACCCTGTATTTTTTTAAAATTTAATTAGTTTAGAGGAATCATGATTTAATTTTGAGAAATATAGGATGTTTAATAAGCAAATTGAAATCTTACAGGACAGAGAGAACAGCTGCAGCAGATTATAAACTAGGGAATACAGGAATAACCATTGAAAAAGATAAGAGGGTAGCTATTCCTATATACGCCATGCATTACGATCCAGAATTTTTTCCTGAACCTGAAAAATTCAATCCGGAAAGATGGTAAAATTTAGTTTTTACTTGTGCATTTTAGTATTTCTCTTTCTCTCTCTATCTTTCTTCTTATATGAGTAGCTGCATATATTTTTTTTTGTATTTATATATACAATTGTTTGTTATGATTTATTGTAACACAAGAATTTGTTTTTCTGTAAAATCATTTGAGATTATATACACACCAGGCGCAAGAAAGTCCGTCTACTGCTTTTGTTTTCTCAACCGTTAGTCGTAGAAACATTTCAATAGACTTCTGATTACCAGCAATAATATCAAACACGGTTAACCCGCAATCGCGGTTAATCCGACAGCAGTTAAAAAAGCACATGAAAGAGGAATAACTTAAATTATAATTAACAGAAAATAGTATTAATTATTTACCTGTACTTTTCAGCAGTTTAAATCAAAGAATGAGCTCATTTGATCGTATGTAAATTAAATCAACTTTTTAAAAAAGTGAAAATATATTTCGAAACAAAAAGAGTGTCTAACGTTTTTGTTTATATTATTCTTATAACAGGGACCAATGCGAAACAGAAGATTAAAAATTATATGTTTAATTTATTTTTGCACTTTAAGCATTTATTTTTAATGGAGGATATAATAATATTTCCGTATCCCAAACTACGTACAGTTACATTGTGTATTGATGATGATAAAAATAATCCTTAAATCCTATGACCTTATTTATCTCGCCTGTTATCTCACACATTTTTTTTTTTTTTTTTCATATCCCGTAGAAATTTTGATTTCTTCTGATGTTTTGTGATAATAATCTTTCTGTCATTTCGTAATAGGCAAACTTAATTTCTTTTCAGATAAAACTCGGGTAAATCATAAAAAAGGAAGCAAAAATTATGAAAATTAATGACTCATCAAAAAAAGAAATGAATAAATCGTGATAAAAATGAAATTGCATTGTCTAGTCTACCAAAAAAGTGAAAAATAAGTCTATATATTTCTAAATAATAGAAAAGGTTAACTGCATTTATTATTATGTGCATTTAATAATTAACTTTTTCGTTCTTTTTTCTGTTTCAGCATATATTATTAATTTTATGCAATAAATTACTAATAAAATAATGGCTCAGATCTTTCTATCGAAATGCTTACAACACTCTAAAATGCACATTTATAATTATTATAAATAACCATTCTGTCCATAGTAAAGGCGTCCCATTGTAAAGGTGTTTTCCGTTTTACTAATATTCATTATATAATACCTAAATAAGGATGATTTTAAAAATCATTAATTTTCAATTAAATCTTACAGAAATTTGGAAAGGGAGTATGAAAATAACAGGAAAAAGTTTCAGTCGAAAACGTCCATAAATTTTGTTATATCGGATTTTCGTATGTTTGGAGTCTGCTATACCGAATCAAGTAATATTAAGTATAGGAGTTTAAGAAGGAACCAAACATTTTCATTCGTGGTGTTCTGGGTTCGTTATAATCTAAATTTGCTCTAGCGGGATTTGACTGTAAATGAAATATTATTATGACTCCCTTTGTGTGGCATCACCTGTATTTTAACATTTTATTTTCAGGATTAAAGGTTCAGAAAAACCAAGCCATCCGCAGTACGCATATTTACCATTCGGAGCCGGACCTCGAAACTGTTTGGGCATGCGTTTTGCATTAATGGAAATAAAGCTGTGCATGGCCAACATGCTTCGAAATTACAAGTTTAAAAAAGCGGAAACTTTAAAGGTAAATGAAATATATATAATTTGAATGAAAATTTGATTCATGCAAAGCAGTTTTAAAAATGTAATTATACACTCATTACTGTAGATATCTGCGAACAAGAAAGAATTATCAAAATCGAACGAAATAGTATGTATTTGAGTGAAATGTCGATGTATATAAGTGATTATAAAATCTAAGCAAAACGGGAATTTTACAGATAAAACAACGAATGAAGGGAGATTCTAGTACGCTATTGGATTACCTCTAGCGTGAAAACACGATGCCATACAGATGGGCATTGAGGTATACAAGGTCCCCTATGGTGACGTGCGTCGACTCGTTCCATAGCTGTTGTAAGCGCGCCTTTATATCGAACAAACTCTTAGACTGTCTCAAGTAATCTCAAATATGTTCAATTGGTGACAGATTTGCAAATCGGACAGGCCCGGGAGAGGGGTAATGTGGTATGATAAACTTGTTGTGTAGCCGAACATTGTTTTGTTGAAAAATGACCCCTGGGATCCCTGCCATGAAGGGCACGTGGCTGAAGGATCCTGGAATGTACCCTGTGTTGCCATGGTGCGGTGAATCAGTATTAGAGACGGTCGGATGTCGTATGTGATAGCAGCCCATACCATCAGACTAAAGCAAAGGCATGATTGAGGCATTCACCATGGGGCTTCCGCAGACGTACACGGCGTCATCACTGCCCAAATTGAATCTGAATACTTCGCTGAAGGTAATCTGAATCCGTTCCGTTGTGGTCCAGTCTCGTCGAGCACTACAACCCTCCAAACGGAAGCAATGGTGGATGGGTGTCAGCAGCAGCAGACGTATGGGCCCAGCGATACCAAATGTTTTTGAGCCACTCGCCTTGCGATGACGCTGATAGACACAGAGTTCGTACTGAAAATACTACGTATGTCCGGCTGGAGGATGATGCGGTTTACCCTGCGTGTGCGTTTCGAATGATGTGACAGTCCTTTCGGCTATTCGTCTGCCAAGGGCTTCCTGAGTCTGTATGTCTGTTCCTTGAGACCTCTTCTCGTCCATCTTCTCACAACAATGTCAGAACGGCCTAAGTAGTGAGATACTCTTCGAGCTTTACCACCTGGCTTCCACCATTCCGATGAAACATTCCCTCTGGAAGTCTGACAGTTGATCATACTGTCTTCGACAGCGGTGTAACGACATTTCTAATGTAAACGTGTCTGTCTGCAACAGATTAAATACAGATAAAATGCCTCTGCATATTTTTTTATGCTTCAAGACGAATGACGCTCATCGCCGTGTCGTGGCATTACGCACTGCGTATTCACGCTGTATTTCTAATCATTTGCATGTATGCCTAATATTTACATTCACGCCTACTTTTTGTTAAGATCCAATTTTTTACAATCTTCTTGGGGCATAAAATTTTATGGTAATGTCGATAACGTACGCCTTTAACATCCGCTAAGAGTATCATATCTGAACAAATTGATTATAGGATTAAAATTGCGATTACTGTTATGAAAGAAAAGGGGTGATCTAAATATTTATTGTACATTGCTAAAGCTTTTGCTAGGGCTGCTTCTCGCAGTCGTTGCAATTTGGAACCATTTGGCCAAAAAGGTTTATATTTTTGGCTTAAAATGTTCATAAATTCTTTAAAGAAATATTCAAAAAATTATACACAATTTCTAATATAAACATATAAAGTAATACACTTTTGGGAAACTGTTTTGAAGGTATTTACTAACCAAATTTTCGTGAATTTTATACATAATATATAAAAAAGGTAAATTTTTTCCTATTCATTCCTTTCTAAATGCCAAAACTATCTGTGTACGTTATGGAAATACGCTGACCAAGCCTATATCAGCTAAAGCTCACCAGGCTCTAACACAGACCGAATTTTTTATTTTCTTTGTCTCTGTTTTTAATATACATTATACACACAAGGGACGCCCATAAATTTACGAGACAAATTAAAATACTAAATGATAAAATAAAAAAGCAGAAGGAATAACTGTATACTTACAAAGCGTGACATCTCAAATCTTGCTAAAGCCAATTTAAACTGGTTATTTTGTCGTCTGCATATCAAAACGCCGGAACCATTTGCGTTTAACACGTTGAGCCTGGCGTCGAATTTGCTGGCCTTTCCGTTCAGCGGGCACCGGGCGATCAAGCGGTACAATGTTGCAGGGTGATCCGCGACTTCATGCACTGAGTAGAGCTTATCTATTGGTGAGCTTTGTCGGCTACCAACATATAAGCCCTGCCTGTGCGTGACAAAGCTCGTGGTCGCGAATGCTGATACTGTCGGTCCCGTGGACCGACGCCAGCCAAACGAAAATGCCCGTGCCGATCCCCAGGTACCAACGCTGGCCAAACGAAAATTTCACCGGTCAAACGAAAATTCACCGGGACCGACGCCGGCCACAAGGAAAGATCACAGGGACCGACGCTGGCCACACAAAAGTTTACTGCCGTTTCCCCAGGGACCGGCGCCGGGCTCAACGTGTTAATGAGAAGGCATTGTACCAAACAATTTGCTTCGAGATAAAGCAATGTTGTAGCATTAAATTTTGTTACAAATTAGGTAAATCGTCTAATGTAATGTTATGAGATGAATCGAACAGTGTATGATGATGCAATCCTTATCAAGAACACAAGTGTATGAGTGGTATAACAGCTTTATATGCAGGCTCGAAAATATTGAAGATGAACGAAAAATAAGGCGCCCTTCAATGAATGAGGAAAAATTGGAGAAAATTGGTTCTTTGGTAAAAGCTGATAGACGTGTAACAACTCTGCAACTTTCAGGCATACTTAGAATAAGTAAAAAGACAGCTGTAGGTTAATTTAAATGGAAAATCTCAAAATGAGAAATGTCTGTGCTCGATTTATGCCTCGGATTTTGACAGAACAGCAAAAAGAAGACAGAAAATCTTTTGATTTGCTGATTACTGCGAGACAGGACAACATTTTCTGAAGATGTGTCATAGCGGGAAATGTGACCTGATGTCTACTGTATAAGATCCAGAAACAAAAAGTCGAAGTGCAGAATGGAAAGAACCGTTTTCTTCCATACAAAAAAAAAAAAAAAAAAAAAAAAAGACAGGGATAGCGGAATCAAAGATTAGGGTGATATTGATCGCATGTTTTTAAATTAAAAATGACGTATTCACCACGAATCTATCCCTGAAAAATCAACCAATTAATACTTTTACGAGTAGGCGCTTTACAAGAGAGTACCACAGAGTGGAGCCGAGTTCTCTTTACTAATGAGTATCTTATTTGTTTGAAGCATGATTCCAGACGCATTTTGATCTGAGGAGAGAAATCACAAGCAAAATATCCCTAAATACTATATCAGTGAAAATCATCTGTGCAAAGGTGATTAAGTCATGGTATGAGCGAAAATCATTTTGAATGACTGCATTTACCTAAGAATTTCTACCTATGAATGCTGAAATATACATAAATGAGATTTTTTATTTTGATTTTGGAAGATCGTTGTGAAGCTGGCATTTCAGTCACAGGTAACGAGATACTTATTAATTTTTCTATATACTTCTAAAACGTTATAAAGCCAACATTTCCCTATCTAACTTTATATCATATATATTTCCTTTATTCGTGTTTAAATTATTTTTTTGCAGAAATAGGCAATTCAGCGTTTTGAAAATATGTCAGATTTTACAAATTCAAATCTCATGGATATTTCACATTCGTGTTAAAATTAAGCATTTGTAGCTTATTTTTAAAAATTATGCTATTTACAAAACAATAAGTAATGGTGGAAATAATTTAACGTAATGATTTGCATTTCAGATTAGTGTATTTTTACTAAAGTTTGAAAATATTTGAAGTTATTCTCAGTATAAAATTTTGCTTTTCCCCAGGAACCTCTGCAATATATTCCAGGTCAAGGTCTTTTAAGTGTGAAAGAACTTCCACTAATGATAGAAAAGAGGACGGAACTCAACACTTTGAAAACAAATTAATTCAAATCAGTTATTGTAAATAGACCTCAAATCTTCAAGTATTTTATCTTCATTATGTAATGACCTATTGTTAACTATATTAAAATCTGACATATAATTACATTTATGTGTATGTACTTTTATGTCTATGTATTGTACATGCATTTAACCATCTTTTCATAAAGAGACGGTCTTTTTTATTCATTATTCAAAGTTTCCTTGCAGAACTGTCATCGGCAATCCAAATTCCTCAGAACTGATTGCCTATAACACAATTTCCTTATGTAAATCACTTTATGTAACAACATTGCATTGTTTAATTTCATTTTTTTGCATTACACATTAATTTAATTTGAAATAAAATGTAGGTTTCTTATCGGAAACGTTTTTTTTTTTTTTTTTTAAATAAAAAGTGAAATTTTTTACAGCTTAAAGAAAGGCTGTGAGTGTTAAGATTTTTCTCGATGGCTTGGAAGATATTTTGGGAGTTTAGTGCGTAATTTTGAGTATAATTTTCCAAAATGTTAAAAAATGGTTACTCGACCTGTGGGGTTGCTAAACTTTAAAAGAAATATAAAGCACCTGATATTTCTCTGGATACTTCAATTATGATATAACCGATTCTTAATTGAAGTCTATTAACTAGACCATTGAAATAATCGTCTGCCATATGCATTGTATGATCTAATGCTTCGAAAACTGCATGCATGGGAGTTTGCATATATGCAGGAGACCATTTGTGACATGTTACAATTACATGATATAACCGGATTAATCGGCTTATACTGTATTCGACACACACATATTCACAGAAAAATAATACCATATTCGACAAAGTAGGGCAAAATCTCTTCACTCCCATACTGAGGTGCATTTATTTCCAATTACTTCAATTACATCAGGGGGTTCTTATTATGAGCAATATCTTTTATGATTGGCGATGAAAAACAGCATTTTTGGAATAGAATGTGAGCATTAATTTCCATATAATGCAAACTTATGATGTATGGAAGAAACTTTATGACATTAGCATAAGTCGAAAGTTTT